TCTCAAGTCATCACGATGAAAGGGGTAAACAGGGTGCTCCACAGGGATATATTATCCCCTCGAAGGTCTCCGGCCATTACAGGTAAATTATCATTCGAAAATTGTTCCCTAGGGCAGACATAAAGAGAGCCAAAGAAGAAGAAGGAAGCTGCTGTTATATGTGCAAGAAGTCACAATAATCATTACCTCTGACGAGAAAATGGAAACACATATATGGAAAAAGAGGAAACCGGAGATAATCCGAAACTGGAGGCGCCAAAGAAAGTAAAGACCGAATAAAAAGACTAAGATATTTAACCCCGTAAAACCATTGAGGAGAAAAAGGAATACAACCATCTCCCCAAAACAGCGCTACCGTTTATTAGTCAAGTAATATCGTCACCGCAAGCACAATTCCGTCCCTTGCATCGAAACCGTTCCTAGATACTCAGAAGATATATCATGGGGTTTGTCCAAGCCATCCGAGTCAGTATCATGAATCGTCGAGTACTTCAGATAGAACCGCGTGAGCAACAAAAGAGCTTTTCAAACCTGCTTCGGGAGTTGAAGTAATCGATACCTGTTCCGACAACTATCCGGTAGGCCTATCATTGGCACCCCCGTACACCAACCGATGACAGAGAAAGGTGCTGACTAAATCATTGACAGGGCGATAGGTTCAAACAAAATTCTGCCGCCGGTTAGCATCAACAAAGAACGGAAACTATGGACATGCAGAAGCAGGAGTGATAAATACCTATCCATAATGTTGTGCCGGGTTTAAATATTCCGAGAGTGAAGTGAATTAGGTCCGATATTCGGCTGCCCTCATTCGACTGCTGTGGGGATGTAGGGCAAAAAAAGTCGATGGATATTTTTTTCTCATCTTCGGCTTCGTTGACAGTATCCAAGACATGAAGAATTGCATCACCCTCGATGAGGATATTATCTCTGGATGCATTTGGCGATTGACCCGGGGGTCGGAGATCTTCAACTGCGATAGAAATATTATCAGTCTTCAAGGTTCTGTGATGAAAGAATTGAACATGAACCCCTGTCCTTATATATACGAGTCTGGAGCCTCTGTAACTCCTCTAGGGAAATTTAGGATAGTGACCACCGCCCGCTTTATCCATCCAAATCATGCATCCGGGTATCCATGAGCAGGTAATTCTTCGGCTTTGCTGGGAGTACGGCTTTCGGGATTACCCCAAACGAGAACATAATTTCTTCATCGATCTTTACACCTCAGAGTTCCTCTCACTAAACCCGATCTTATATACCTCTCCCTCGGCACATGGTACTAGTGGGGTGGAATTTGGTTTCCGACACTAAACTTCGAATAAACAGATTCCAAGCCAAATCTCCCGGCGAAATATGTCCTATATAACCACGAGCATCAGATATACTAGAAATAATCAACGTAGAATAGAATCAAATGAAAATGGGCCCAGCGAATTGTTCCAACCAGGTTCTAAGGTACGATTAATTATTTCTGTGAACCTCCGAGCCCAGCATATTACTGCACCGATATGCCCATGCCCTGGATTCATATGGTGCTTCAGCAATCCGACATCGATATCTACGGGAAATGCGAAAAGAGAGCTTCGAGTACCTGATACGGGGTAAGCTCTCGAAATCAGATATTACTCTGCGGATATCAACCATCGGATTTTCATGAGGGATCACTCGGTTTCTGAAAGCGGTGAATCTGCGGAACGTACCAAAATCTCAGGTGTCTTCAACCATGAACACAGATATCTCTCTTCATGACTGTTCTCGCTGTCATGGTGTGAGTTTCCACATATTCGGGGGTCTGATGCAGGATATATAGACTGCGCTCGTAGTTTATACGTTCAATCAAATCACCGTAGAACTGCTAGCTAGAACAGGGTTTCCGACTATAAACGCTGACTCATCAGTCGGTACGTAGCCATAAAGATTTTCCTACTTACTATAACGAATTTTCCGTTATTTTTCTTTAGAATATTTTCTTTGTTCTTTCTTGAGTTTATTTATTTCACTAGTGAAAGTCATCGTCTCTCTTTATTTCACTTTATTTCAGTTTCCGGAACTCTCTTTAATGATCTACGGAGAAGAAGCCACAGAGTGTAGTAAGTAGTTTCCTTTGTTTTTCGGTACTATAAATAAATCGCCATGTCATATAGAAAAATATATCATGGACTTTCTCTCGAACGAACACCTTTTCTGAACACAGAAGACCCTAAATTTGCAGGAACTACTAACATTAGCATCAATGGGCGCGATTGACGAGCAGTAGCCGTTGTCGTATAGGAGACCTGGTGGAGCTAGTGCAAGGACTAGGGGACAGCGGCGGATCTCGGCCTGGGGGCGTGCCGGGGTACAGGCGGTCACGGGTCCGAGGGCTCCGAGGCCACGGGCAGTCAGGGCTTTGGTCGCTTCTGCTGGAACAGGGCGTCCGATGAATAAAGATGACTTATCAGATGTAGTTCAGTATCCGCATCACGTTTTACGGAAAGCCACTTTCCCTTTAATAACAAAAGGTTTCTTTCATCATGTGTTTATTTACTTTGTGGCTTTCTTTATTTCACTTGTAATCGGAATATTTCATCTATTTTCATGTTCTCTGATTCACTTATATAACCATAATCTATTAAGGAGTACAAGCATGGTATCGTTTAGTTGAGACATGAATTTAATCCTACTTTAGAACGCAATTAGAGAACTACATAGATATATTGCAACTGAAGCCCCGCCCTTTGTCACGGGTGGCAATGTCTCATCCGTAAAATGCGTGATAGGCTTGCCGTCACGGTACCGAGTGATAATCCATGACTATGAATATATGAACCACCAAGTACACTTTCAAGAACTAAAAGAGATAGATCTGTGGTGGACTTGTGAGCATACTTGGTAGTTCAGATACTGTTCACAGTGTGCGGCATGACCGATAACTTTGATTGTCAACATTGCGGTATGTGAAGTCATAGGATATCACTCGCTCTGTTGTAGACTCCATGGCCATCTATCGGATAATCGGAAGTCGGTATGAGATGGTATAAACCGCTAAGATACTTGTAACATATTTAGAGTCTATGGAGACTATTACAAACCTTGGATGCTTAGAGGAGGGCTTGGAGAGGTCGTTAACGGATTGGAAGACGGGGGTGTACGTGGGAAACGGAGCTCAAGAATAGGTATAAACCAGAGTACTATATTGTTAATTTAGATTGTACACAGATTCTAAAGTTCAGTAAAGAAAGATTGATGAAAATACCGAAGAATCGACATTAACGCTAACCCTGCCGAAACTAACTTACTTCAGTTTAAGTCAGGATCCCAAGTGCATGGTTTCATAATAAAGAGGTACTGTCGGAATAGATCTAGAACTATGCTTAATTTCTGCACTGAGTCAACCCTCCGTGTTATCATACTACTGACTCTCAATTCCACCTTCTCCACGAGAAAATCCGAATTGTAGTCGTTGACGAATCATAGGGCAGCCACCAGGACGAGGAGATATGGATAGGAAAGGCAGGCATAGTTCCCTCGAAAAAGCATTATATGGAATAACCTATTCTCTTATAATTCGCATATCGGCTGGATAGTTCAGAACCTTGAACCACTTGTACTTCGTCCAAAGGTTTTATCGTTCCAAATTATTCTGGAACGGTTTTCCGAAGAAGTTTCCTGCGGTAGTTTCTTTTGGAACATGCCTTTGCTTCATTTACTTCTCGGTATCTGTCTATGAGCGCCCAAATGCTCTTGTCTCGAATATTTAACTGGAAACTGAGCATAAAATGGTTCTTATATCAATGAGAAATCAGAGGCCAGTTCCTGTGCTCAGAAATTGCGGGGTGTCTTTGAAATATTTTAGGTAATCGCCGTCGTTAGAAAGTTTAAAATGTGGTAACAATGCCCTTCCCTCGGCACACAGTGCCTATATGCCTTGAGCCTTACGCAAGGACCATAAACGTTCTGGACTTGGAACATACATGTACTTCCGGAATCAACCCAATGTCTTTTAAACCCCCCGGCGATGTAAAGAAAGCTAGCGAAACCATAGCCTATCCTGGGTAAAACAGGTTTGGAGATATAAAATGGTACTCTCCAGCGGTGGAGCTGAACTGGTATTATTTGTCACTTGGGATAGGGAAGAATCGTAGATCCTGATGAAACGCCCTCGTAATTAGTATGGAGGATTTTATCAGAATTATAAGAGGGTAGGGTCGAAAATGTTGGGGAACAAATCGTATAGTAAACGTAACCTCCCAAGGTTAACGGATTGGGCGTAGTACGTTGTTACAAAACTGTGTCATATTGGGACTGAATCGAGATCTGTCACCAGTCTTGGAGAACAACAAATATACCAGATTTCTCGTTTATATTTCTTCGAACATTGATCGGGCACTCCGCTAAAATATCTAGCTGGGGTCAGCCACGGAAGCCTTTACACTCTCTGTATCCGGTCATTGTCTGTGAAGCTACATTGATCTCAGCATTCGAGCTGTAGCCTGTATGATATTAGCAATTCATCTTTCTCCTGCGAAGAGGGATTTGAGATCGCTTGGTGGGTATATCTATCAGACTTCTCTTATATTTTTTTCCCTGTTCGCTAGAGGCGAGTCTAAGCGATATGGTGATAAGAGCGGTAAAAGGCTGTGCCATGGTCAGTGCCCTAGTGAACCATCAAGATTTAAAAAGGAAGAAAGCTTACTTTGTATGACTTATAAGAGGAGTCAAACGTATAAGGAACGGATCGCATATTGAATTTAATCCAGACTTACGGCTAGGTATCCCTGCTCATGCAATCTTTCGTCTATACATCTCTTGGGTTAGTACGCGTTCCGACCTTCGGGCTTGGCTGAGATTTAGAGGTCCAAACAACACTGACGGGAGTACTTAGTTCGTATCTAACGTTGTCCTTGCCTCCTCTCCCTCTCTCCCTGGACCACACTGATCACCTATCCTCACAAACCTTTATTTCTGTCATCATCTAGAAAAGGTTTCATTATCGGTGACTCTTTATCTTATCAGTCATGTCGTCCTCCCCTGTGGAATATTTTCCTTCCTCTCCACCGCAGTACACGGAGACACCATCACCCCCGATTTCCCATGTCAGAGCTGAAATCTTTGCCAGATTGGTCGAAATCAAAATGTTATTTTACCAGATGAACCGCCCGTCCTTCCCGCGGGATGACAGTCATGACGATTGCAAGAAATCTCTTGTTAAAAGAGCAAGAATTAAAATGACTCTTGTAAAGATCCTTGAGGACTTTCCTCTCTTAATGAAGGATTTCCGTAGGAGAGCAAAGTTTATCATCGAAGTCGGCATCTACATGACCGAGGACGATGTAGATGAGGTTGATCGAGCGATGATCGAGAAGATGAGCATCGCGTTCGACACAATCTTCGCCGATGTCACTATTTCTGATGCTAAGCAAATGGTTGCTATTGTTGCGGGAGGGCCTAGGTTTCAGAAATATGTAAGAACCTAACGAGAGTTATTTCCTAAGGCATGCAGGCTAATTGTACATTTCAGAGAGCGCTGGTAATTGCAGACAACGTTGAGAGCATTCAGGAACAAATCAAAAAAGCGGTATGTATCACAAGAATCTTGAAAGAGCCTCAAATATGCAAGGCTTAAAGGGGCTAACATTTTTGCTTTCGATAGGGTTTTGTCCTCGAAGGTGTTTGTGTTAGTGGGCAAGAGTTCTCTATAAACATTTCAAGAAAGGTACTATCTCAGTTCTTGTTCTTACATGAATTTTCTTCTTTCTTCCTTTTCTTTCTTTACTCAGTAGCTAATTTTTGTATAAGTCCAATTTAAAAAGCAAGGCCAAAGGCAAATCTGCTATAACAGCTAATCACTCCAAGGAGAAACTGTCTATCACGCGTAGCCACGGACCAAAGGTTGTAGGACAACACGTCAGCAGCTTTTCACCTCGGCAGGTAGATAGGTCGAGTGTGAAGGCAATGGATGCTGAAGTACCTCCGTCGGAGAGGCAAAGTGAGGGAGCCATTCAAGGTTCTTCTTCACATGCACGTAAAAACAGACGTCAGAGCGGATCGGCACATGACTTTCAACAACAGGTTATTGATTATGAGGCTACAAAGGTTCGTAGCAGCGCGGAAGAAACACCGAGCAGCGACAGAACAATCGAGGACGATTGGGAGGAGAATGACCGTTTGATGCGTTCACAGGGAGCCGGTTCAACTATCGACAAGGAAGATAAGGAAGCTGATAGAGTTTATCCTGTCGGCGCACAAGGTACTAACTTACAGAGTGGCTCTGTCACTAGAGATCTCTCACCTCTTGTTGCAGAGTATCATGAAGACGTGAATGAGGAGCAGACGGATAATTCGGCGCAGGCTGAATTTCAAGCCAACGATGAGACCGAGTCAATTGAATGGCCTTCCTCACCACCTTCAGCTTTATTCTTTCCCATCGAGACCCCACAGAAGATTAGTAGTTCTACTGAAAGCACACTCGTCGGTTCAAAATCCTCCGGGTTTGAATCCTCGCCACCTAAATTAACTCTCTCTGCTATTGATAAAGGAAAAGCCGCGAATAGAGGATCCTCCTACGAGGTCCAGAATGGTTTATTTGCCAATGGGCATAAAAGTGGGCCTTCACCATCACGTGATGGGGAGAAGGCTACACGTCCTGATAAAGGAAAAGTGGATTTCAAAAATATCACCCCAAATGCCAATGTGGAAGGGGCTAGCAAGCATGGTTCAGGCTTTCTTCTTGCAGCGAATACGCTCAAAGGGTTGCCTTCTATATCGGTGACAAAATCAGTTGTTATGTTTGTGGAACCCCAATTTGAAGAGAGCCCCATTTTACCGGACCTCATCCCACTTTTGGACAGTAACAACAACAACGACTTCTCTTTATCTGCACTTGTCAACCACAACACGCCCGACTTGGGATCTTCCAAAATTGTGAAAACAGCCGCTACAGATAATAAAGAAAAGGAACTTATGAGGGAGGGAGAACCGGCTAGGAAGGGAAAGAAAGTCATGAAAGGTTTGTGATGCCAGGCATATTTTAAGCTAAATAGTCACAGCGCGACTAACCATGAATTTGTGAAATTAGGAGCGCTAGGTGTTGAGGCATCCACAGTGACCGATCAAGAATCGCAGTTGAATGCTTGGTTATCATCCTCCCCAGATGTATCGAAGGCTTCCAAACTTATCATTCTGGAAACCTTGGCGCAACTGGCTGCTGAGGAAAGAAAGATCACCTCTGCTACCAATCCTCAACCCGAAAATCAACACGCGATTGCCCCCAATGTTGCAGCCGATGTTCCTAAGCTTACAACGGTACCTGTCACCTCAACGGCAGCTGCGAATATCGTAGCCACCCTGCCGAAACGGCAGCTGTTTAGAACCAAAAAGACCAGCTTGGAAAAGAATGACGCAGCTGACTCTCACCCTATTGTTAAGCATAATGGAGACCAAAGTGTTCGTCCGTCAGGAGTAGGTGCCTCGTCAAATATGCCAGCAAAAGGACCCAGGAAACGGACTCGAGAGATGAGTGAAGAAGACGATTCCACCCAACAACTTCCTCATGACCTTTCTGTCACTGCTCCCCTTGACGCTGGTAAATGTCTAGTTGCGAACAACGGCTCTCCAGTAACTGGTGAAAGGCGTTTCAAGAAGCCGCGCTACAACGCCTGCACACAGAAGAAGAGGGTCGATACCATCGACTATTACACGCTGAGCCGTCCATTCAAACGAAGTAGATTTGGCCGCCGTGGCACTCGCTTTCGCCCCTCCTCCCGCGACGGTAAAGAAAACCCCTTCCTGACAACTGGCACTCCCGACATCGTTGAGCGCCGCCGTCTCTTCTTTTCAAAACGTGCAGCGGACGATGGCTACGATTCCGATACGCGTGAAATGGCGGAGAGTTTCCCGGCGCAGTATGCAGAGCCTGGCCGCATCTATGATAGCAGTCCCGAGATAATGCGGTCCAGCCTACCGAAGAATGTTCCTCCAACTTTGATTGCGAACAACGCAGTGACTTTTGTTAGCGAGGAGGCGAAAGATCGTGCCATGAGGTCCTGGGTCATGTCCGACGAAGAAGAGGGCTCGCAGAGATCGGGAATTCCTAGTGCTCCACGTAAGGCAGTTCTCCCGCGCATCCCGCTGAAACGCAAATCCAGGAATTAGGTAACGTCAAGTGGTACTTGGCTATGTCACTACCCACTAGTGGGTGGAGTGAATAAAAAGAAGAAAGATATCATTTTACGTTAAACAATGATTTTCATTTCGTTATTAGTACTGGCAAGAGTCTGTCTCCCCAGACCTAGGGTGTGGGGTGTACAGCAGGAAAGTAAGGGGGAAGATAGAAAATTACGTTAAGATGGGTTTTCATTTCGGTGTTGGTACTGGGTCCTGTTATGGTATGTCATTTAATACTTTACTTTTCTTTCTAGTACTAACACTTCTTTTATAGGCATGGTGGAAGAAATTTGTGGTTGGCTGTCCTCGGGTCGGGATTCTTTGCAAATGTTTTTATATCATTGTTCAATGTGTTCCCTTTATTACGTTGCATCAATGGCTATGGTGGCACGAATCCAATGATGGAGGTCTTGTGCAGTTCCAGTCATATCATCACATGTCTTAGCAGCTTTAAATAAATTCCACACTTTGCTGTATCTGAGACCCTGGGCGTTTGAATAAATAAACATGCCATTTGCCACCTAATATCAGTGAGTTTATATGGCAATATCAGTTATCCGTTTCTAGCATCGTTGTGATGATTACCTAGTGGATAGCATAATTGAGTGTTACTATGTTCCACGGGATGGATTAATGAAAGTTTTCCTTAAAGGTCCTGTACAGGAAGCTCACGCCCATAATCATATATGAGTCAATGTTGACAAAGGTCTGAATATAGAGAAAATGGTAAAGCGGGTGAGAGACAGTGAGCCAAGCGTTAGGGAGAAGTCCAGTTGTCAGATATGATAGAACTTGAAAGGAATTAATGTATACTTGAAGGTTACATAAGTAAACGGTTCCCATGCTCTTTTATTAGCTAGGTGGATAAGATACATGAAGCCTTTTTTTTTTGCGGTGAGCTGAGCGACGCAAATGTCAATGATCGGTGAAACGTCTTGGCGCGAGTGAGAGTGTGCGAGTCAAGAGCTTCAAGGCACGGGGCTTAAGAAGACATTTTGAATTTTTGTTCATCTTTTCGCTGCTGTTGTGTTTGTTGATGGTGAATTTCGGTTTTTATTTAGATCTAGGGTGCGGGAAACGTGACGCGGCACCTCTTTACACCACAGCAAAACTTGAGCTGGTAAATAATAGGAGTTGCCCGCTCTTAGTTCAGAATGGTAAATATATGACTTGAGAACAGTATTCAAGCTTAGCTTTTCTTGGCGTGATATTTTGTGAATGTTTAATGATAGCCATGTGCTTCCGGGACTCATCTGCATCTACATCCTTGTTACGTCGGAGGTGCCGGCTGTCCGTGAGCAACGAGCACGCGATTACAGTGGAGACGGGAGATCTAGAATTACATTGCAATAACTTTAAGAACGAATATATGAAGCGCCGTCTATGTAGACGTAGATAAATTAAATTTATTGCTGAGTTCATGGATGAGAAGGGCCACGACCGCGAGGAAAGAGAGGACAGGTATCATCTGGACAACATGGTTGTTGACCAAAACAAGAGGAAAGGAACACATTGCACAGGGCATAAGAACAAACGATCTTTTGCCCATCTCGCACTCATCACTTCTCTTGTGAAAGCTGAAACGAAGATAATGTTCTCCACTACTCAGCTACCAATAGCACGATCTCCGTCTCTACTTTGAACAACTATGTCCATACCAACAAATTTGAATTCGGGGGAAAATACACTACCACCAGGACTTGAGGTGATGATGCTAATTCTTTTTCGCCGCGAGTCAGTAAGTTGAAAACCAGCCCTGTTAGTCACATAAGCTAACCTGTTCTTAACACAAGATGACCCGCCCTCGAAACCAATATGATCGACCAGAGACATAGAAGCCCCAATTGGGGAGAGAAAAGAAAGAAAATTCCCCTCACCCTTCATTTTGTACTGATACGATTGAGTTCTCCTTTACAGTTAGTTGCAGTCAGTCAAATGCACTCTCGGTAAGAAGATAGACAAATTATAACAGTTAGCACAAACTGAATCGAGCTAGTCTACCCTACTTGACCCAATGAATCTGAGTTACACCTTAGGAATTTGGACATGAGCATGGCAGATGAGAAATATGAAGGTTGCTCACCGCCTAATAGCAAGGCAATTGACATGACGAAAGTCTAGAAACACGACTACTGTAGGTGTGCCGCTGAATACGTCCTCAGGTATACAGCAACCCTGTTGACTCACGGGATCATGCCGCTTGTTGTGCCGCTTGTTGTGCCGCTGTGGTGTTCTTAGATAAGGATAAAAGCATTTCCCTGCTACCCACCGAACAACCTGTCAAGCAACAGGTGCATATCCCGCCTCTTCCTCTTCTCCGCTTCTACTTCCTCTTCTCTTCTCCATCATCAATTCATCACCTCCATCGCCTCACAATGCGACGCCCACCATCTGCATCAGGGTTATATTCATCCCCCCCCTTTCCCGTCAGCATGAGGACCTCTCCTATTGCCAAAGAGATCTTCTCACGTGCACAAGTCATCAAACGGCGCCTCAAGGTCATGTCTGATCCATCTTACGAGCCGGTTGAGATTCCCGACCCACGCTTCTCGTATCGCGACTTTGCCGCATGCTGGCAGGAGCCTCTCGAAACAATACTAGAGATTCCTGTCTTGGAGGATGACGCCACTGGTGCAGGTAGTTTCCCTGAGATGGACAATGTCATTAAGAGAACGCTTGTGAAAGTCTCGCTTCAGCCGCCGGCGACGCAGATGAGGCGGGAGGTGTACTTGGACATGGCGCGCAAGGTCCAGATAATTCTCAGAGATGTTTCTGTTAATGAAGCGTTGGGGGTCGCGGCCGCGCTCAATGCGGGAACCTTTGTTACGGTATGCGAGATCTCCGATGAGGAGCTGCTTTTGTTGTGTTGGCTGCTGACTCTTTGGGCTTTTAGGATAAACGGAGGGGGGAGGACATTTGCAAAAAGATCAGAAATGTCTGCCTTCATAATGTAGGTTGCATACCCCCTCTCTATTAATTCCCACATTTAGATCTAACCATTCTTGTATATTAGGATCTCTTGCTGCGAAATGCCTGTGTAGACGTTGACACACAAGTTTTTGAACTGCGCCTGATTGAAATCAAACCAACTGCGGTTCGCGAGCTCAAGACCCCACCCCGTCAAATCATCCATTGCCACTTCTCCGAAAAGGGCAGTATCTGGGACCAACTTGAACAGGAACAAAAGGCCAACGTTTCCACAACCCCCGAAGCCCAAAAGACCACTCAAGTGGTCTCCCCCGAAGCTCCAAAGTCGAGGATGACGACCGTCAGGGGCCCAAAGTTTTCCGTAGCCGACTATGGATCGCCCTTCTTCGGGACTAAAGCAGAGAAGCGCACCCACTACAACGAACTCATCCCCCTCGACCGTTGGTCAGCCGCAGCAACATACGACTTTAAAAGAAAGTTCTATCCGTCGGGCTTCGGCCGCAGCAGGGCGAAGTTAAATGCTCTTTCGCGCTCACCGGATTCAGATGAGAATCCGTTTTTGGCCACTGGGAGCAAGGCTCTGCAGAAATGTCGTTTGCTTTTCTTTGGGGTGGAGGCCCAGGTTGACGACGAGGGGAAGACCAGCTTTGTAGGTGCTACTGTGAGTATCTTTCTTGTGTTCTAGCTATGGTGTTCGCTCTGAAACAAATTTGGTAACCTTTCTTTATCGTTTCGCAGAGGCCATATAGTACCCGGGTCGATGTTAGAACCGCATCCAGAATCCCACGGCCATTTGGGCACTTTGTCAGAGCACCGTCTGTGGGTTCTGCCTCAGAGGGCGGGCCACCAGCTAGTCAACCAGAGCGTCAACCAGAGCGTCAGCTGGAGCTTCGAGCAGGGCGTCCAACGGCGCATCAACAAGAATCAGCTAATGCGGTGCGTGCTGCACCGGCATTTCAACGACGGTTTCTCCTCTAGAACTGTGTAGGGAGATCGGCGATTCCAGTTAGAAAAAAAGTATCAATAGAGAATTGTAATTTAGAAAGAGTTTCACGTTTTTCGTTAGCCCTGAGTAGTATTTAGGCTTTAATTGGGGGAAATATCGGCGTCTATGCACAGTAGCTGCACAAGACATCAATGTTGGGGACACAGCGGAAAGGAGTGATAAATACATATGATTAGAGGTTTAATAATATACTTTCATGTATCGATTAGAACACAAGGAAGAGGGAGAGCAGTATGGGTTTGTAGGATGGAAATCATATCAGGGAGGGATTAACGGCAAACAAATAGTGAAATATATTTTTTTATCTTCTATCTCACCCTCTACACCTGACTAGGGTTCTCACAGTGGTTGTCTCTACTGCGCTGCCCTTACAAAACAGCTCCGTAGGTTGGCAACGCCTTCGAAGTAAACTTCTTAAACTATCCTGAATGTAAATAGTTAAAGCAAAATAAATGTTCCAAATTCGAAATTGTCGAGCAGTGAGTAGACAATTTTCGATGGCTTCTCCTTGCAACGAATGAATAATAAAAATCTGGCTTTTCATTAGCTTTAATTTCTAAATCTCTGGCGCCGGCTAGGGTTATGATAGTGCCACAGGATGGCATCTGTCATCCTTGCTTTCGAACCAACCCCTTTCAATATTCTCAACTCTGGTGTTCGAAGTAAAAAATGATTGTCGGGAGTGCAACAGTTGAGCATACGACAAATCTACCTCCCAACCTCTTTACAGTGACTCTAGAAAAAATATATTGATAAAAAGAGGTGCACATTAATATATTTATTCAAAATATCTTCTAGCCTTACGATAGTGATTACCCAGACCAAACAGGACCCACCCACCGCCTTCCGCAAAGCGCTTCGAGAGATTTTAGATTATCATACACAAGCTTATCGCTTATTTTCCGGTGATCTTGAGTTGCGGTAATCGTAATATGTACCCATCAAAATGAAGTGTATCATGACACCGAGGTGGCGGGGCTGGGAGTGGTTGTTGTACACGCCCCGCGTACTACCTAGGCCCCAGAACTGCTCTAGTCCATATGCGAAGTTGGTCACTTTGGGAAGATTCGTACATGGCGGGTCGCCATATCGGAATATTCAGCCGTGGCTGGGAGAAAGCCGCCGTTTTAGAAGTTCTCACACGGCTAGGCCGTGTTGTGGACTTCTAATATGGCGCTGGGAAGTAATTTATCTTTTTTAGTCCTTTTCCGGAAGTTCCGATGGATTTATTACTTGGTAATTCGTTCGAGTATGCATCGGTAGTTACGGGAGCTTTATCGACGCATTTCTAACAAGGCATTATACTCAACACAATCGACAGGCGTACAAACATGTTCGACCTATTTCATACCCCCCTGTTCATCATGATATGGGTAGAGATAATGATCAACTATACTACACGTATTTACTTTCATCGGTGCTAATCAACCCATTGTGTGCAGTAACATAAAGATATGATTCGAAGGTTTCTTTCCTCACGCCATATTAGAAGTCCACACATGGCCTAGCCCTTTGAGAACTTCTAAAACGGCGGCGTTCTCCCAGCCACGGCTGAGTATTCCGATATGGCGACCCGCCATGTACGAATCTTCCCAAGGTGACTAACTTCGCGTATTGACTAGAGCAGAACCGATACCCCGCTTATAATTTTAATTAAGAGAGAGAAAAAAAAAGAGATATATAAAAAAAAAAGCGAAGATAAACGGGGAAAGATGGAAAGAAAAAAAAAAACACTCGGATGTGTAGGCAGTGAGGAGGAAAGGTCCGTTGTCCTCGCCATGTGGGGGGGGGGGGGGGGAAAACCGAAAAATAAAACCGAAAAACCGAAAAAGAGCAGGAAGATCTGTTTCCTATGTACAGCGCGCGGATATCTCTTCTACAGCCTTAAGTTCTATTTCCCTATTTTTTTTCCCCCAGTGCTGAGTGTGAAAAACACTAAGTTCGGGAATCTCATGTCGATCGCTAGCACTGGAAACCGCTAATTTATTCGTTTACAAATGAAATCCCTTTTGGGACTCTTGTAATAATTGCTGACTACTCCACCTTCATCTTATTGGTCAGACACACAACCAACTAATTGAACTATCCATAACTGGCCAGATGCATGGTTGCACAGAACTAAACCATGACTCAGCAACAAAAAGCAGAGGTGGAACAAGGCCGGGTCGAAATTAATAATCAGACACGTGTCCGGTCAAATTAAACCCCATCAGGAGATACAGCTCGTTGTCAATCTTTTCTTAATCTACGGCTCCAAGGTGTTCGTGATGGGGCGGAATGGATTAGGGTGTTCATGTCGATAGCTATACCGGGAGGCGAGAGCGGACCGGTGTGGGGAGGGATAGAACAGTGGCGGAGAGCTGGTGGGCTGGGTGTGTTCGCTGGGTAGGAAGGAATTACGAATTTTTTGGAATTAAATTTTTTTTTTTTTTTTTTTTTTGATTTTTTGGCGAGTAGGTATTCGCGTGTACTATGGTCACCAACACGATACCATGCCAGTACGATGGATGTGATAAGTAGGAGATATGAACCGTTATTTCAAACAGGGCAATGATGAACTCAGCATGAATTTAGATCTCATGTACTGCGACCTGTGGTGGACGCGCTCACAATGAACCTACCGAGAGCTGATGTGCTTGATCCCAACTATTCTTCCCATCTCAAGGGAAAAAGCATGTACTGTATTCCTCGCCGCACGGTCTGAGGTCATCGAGGTTTCTGGAGGTTAAATCGGAGAACACGGCGTGTGTGTGCGGTGGGGTTTGAGTTCGTAGGAACAATGGAGTCCGATAGATAAGCCAGCCGAGCTGCAGTGAGGCCTGGTAGGGCTGTTCTGAGTATAAGGAGGAAGAAGATTAATGAGGATGACTTAGCGTACCTAGGTGAGTATTTCCGTCTACGTGGAGCAGTGGAGATGACTTATATCCGTCCCAAGGCTACAGCTTGCTCTACGGTCACGGTCTTCTAGATCTAGGAGCAGAGCTCCCATTTCGTGTGAGACAAGTACTCGGCTTAGACAGTAATGAAATAATGCCCATGCAGATGTAATTACTACAGACGGAGAGAGTGACAATGGGTCGTCCCGTCCCGCATTAGCTTTAGCCACCGAATAATCAAGTTACCGAACCCTACCCAGCTAGCATCATCACTACCAGCCCACTAACCCTAGCCCCGCCCGCCTACTACTAAAGATGTCATTGCACACACCTAGCAACGACCAATGCTACAAGGATTAATCGTTGCTGCGGTTACGGTTGTGGGAGGGTTTGTTGTGTTTTTGGGGTTGAGAGGATGGAAGTTAGACTTTGTTTGTGTCTTTGGTGATGCTGCAGTATCTTGCATTTCGTGAGGTGGGTACTTGTAGAGGGCGCAGATGGATGAAGATTGGGCTTGGGTGGCAGTTGTGTGCTTATGTAGATGAAGCTTTTCTTACAGCTCTTGCTGTTTTCCTCTGCTGTTGTTGTCATTTACACCAACAGAAGATGGGTATCCAACTCCCACCACAAGGAAAATGAAATTCGCATAAAGCTGGATGACTAAAATCTGCGTTTCCTGAAACAGCTCCAATCTCTTGGTGCATGTGTGATGATCTCTCTTAGTGACGTGTGGGTCAATTTGCGACGAGTGTAAAAAATGTGTTATGTGTTGCTTATTTCGAAAACGGAATCCCCCTCCCCACAGCAAAGTTACAGTCTCCCCAACACGCACATCTACCCCCAGCAACCCCATAGCATGAGCATATAGATATCTATAGATACGAGTAAAAGCTCAATTAGAAGTCAAAAGCTCTTCATCTCCGTGCCTGTCTAAAATGATACTAATACAGTCCAGACAAGAGAAAAGAGCCAAAGAACAAGAAAACCTCCAAAACCGAGTGACATCCCATGCCCCCCTACCACCAAGCACACAGCACGCAATACCCAACCCCACGCCAAAAACCGCTCTCGACAACCAACTCCTCTTCTCCCTACATTCTCCAGTAACTCCCAAACCTCATTTCTGAAAATTCTCAACAACCCCCAACTTTCAGCTACCTACATCTTTGCGACCAAACCATCACCTATTGCGACCCCCCCCGACCTCTTAGAAATACCGAAATCCCCCCCATCACAGTACGCTCTCCCCCCCCAACCAACATCAAAATGTCCGAAAAGGGCTGCACAGAGATGCAGTTCTCGAAAGCGAGCGTCACTGCGCCGCGAAAGACAATCTCCCGGGTCGTGCTCATGACGACCGCACGGAGCAACAACAAGGAGGAGGAGAGGAGGAAGTTTGAGGAGCTGGGGCAGGCGGTCGCCCGACAGATGTTAGAGATGGGGGTGATTGAGGCGAGCGTGGTGGGGAGAAAGCTCGCGGGGAGGAACTCGAGGAGGGGTAAGGGTGCGGTTGTGGTCCTGGGAGAGGCCTTGGTGGAATCCGTGAGTTTCAATTCTTCTCTATTTTCGTTTTTGACTTTTTCTTTTTCTTTTTTTTTGTTCTTCATATAACTGCTTTCCTTGAATATGCCCTTGATATCCTCCAGTTTGTGTTGATATCCCATATCCCATTGTGGTATCTGTTTTGATACCTCAATTTCTGTACCCTCCTATGTCAATTGCAAATTTTGAAGCTCCCACCCCACCCTATCAAATTCCCTCCCAGCTTTCACCACATCCTACTGCCATTCTCATATTAGCATCTGTAATTTCCTGTATCATCAAAACCTTTCTGTCATCATATCAAATCCCCAACTGCGTGCATGGCTCCCAACGAACACAAACCAATTTCCGACCCCCCCAACTTTCAAAACCCAAACTCTAACATCGAACAGGGCTACACGGTAGCGTCCGCCTTGGTCTCCGATGACCCACCCACCTTTACTCTGGCCCTCACCTCCTCCGCCAAGCTCACCACCCGCAAGAGGGGGAGAGAAGCTGCCGCCGAGGAAGGGGAGAAGAAGGAGGAAGAGGAGAAAGAGGAGAAGAAAGAGGAGAAAGAGGACGACGCCCCGCCAGCAAAACGTCCGAAGACACCCCCCCCCACCACCACCACCACGACCAAACTGCCTTCTGCATCCCCCGGCAAAGGCAGCGAAGCGCGCTCGCCCAGAAAGCCGCGCTTCGTCTGCCACAGGCCGTTCTACTGCCCCGCGCTCTGCTGCTCGACTAAGCAGAACCGGCGCGGCTGTGCCAGCAAGTGCCCGCCGACAGCACCGCCCCCCCCACCCCCGACAACGCCCAGGAAGACCGACAATGGCGCCGCCGTCTTCGCCATCGCCGCCGACATCAGCCCCCGGACCCATGCCGCCATCATGGCCGTGCAAAGTGCCGATGTCCAGGCACGGTTTGCCGCTGACGAGGCCTTTGCACGGGCCCTGAGCGGCCAGATTAATGGGACCACCGCCGCCGACAAGAAGCGCGAGTGGCTCGCTGACCTGCGTGCCGAGAAGGCCAGGGAGCGGGACGACGGGCTGGAATCCGCAATGGCCTGGGAGCGGTACAAGGAGGACCAGCGGGCGGAGCGCGAGGCTGTCGAGGTCATGACAGCTGAGTGCGAAGACCGTTGGGACGCCGAACTGCCGTTCCTGTGGGACCACGAGGACACAATGGAGGCTATGGCGGAGGAGGCGAAGGGGAGGGCGAGCCCAGCGGAGGCGTGGGGCATCCTGGAGGAGATGCAGAAGGCGGAGAGGTTGTACCGGGAGGAGGCGGGGAGGAGGTGGAGGGAGAAGGGCCTGAGCCGGGTGGCCAGGGGCAAGCGGCCAGAGGGGCAGGTGGAGGAGAAAGAGGCGGAAAAAAGGGACGAAGAGAAAGAGGAGGAGATCTTGTGTGCCGCCGAGCCGGAGCGGAAAAAGGAGGAGGAAGGGGAGGAGGAGGAGGAGGAGCAGGAGCATCAGGAGGAGCAGGCACCAAGGCCGGAAGAGGGAGTAGACGCAGCCGCCCCGCCTGCGCTTGTCAAGCCCGTCCTGTACCAGGACAACAAGCGTAAGCGACGGTTCGTCGACAACCTCGACCGCGCCCCAGCCACCGCCACCACTGCCGCCGCCACTGCCAACGCCGCCGCCACCGCCCCCGACTACGCGGCCACGGGCAACAACAAGCGCCAGCGCCTATTGGGGCCTGAGCAACCTGTTGCCGTGGTCGCCGCCGTCACGGTCGCCGCCGCCGCCGCAGCAGTAGCAGCAGCAGCATCTCCGCCTCCGCCTCCGCCTCCCCCGCCACCTCCAAGCACACCGTGCTTCCCGCCATCAACCGCCGGCAAGGTTCGCCGAACCCCATACTCGCCACCCCGTCCGCTCGCCAAGGGTGCCTTCCGGCCTGACTACGTCCTGGCGCGCCCCTTTGTCCGCCGAGTTGGCAGAGAGGCCGCCTACGACAACCGGTCAAGGCGCCCGGCCGACCCCTTCCAGAGCGAAGTCGACTTCCCGCGCCACTATGTGCGTGCCCGTGCGGTGAGGCGCATCGCCTTCTTTGAGCGTCGTGGTGCCAGCGCAGATTCGGACAATCTGTTTGCTCCTAAGCCCGCGCTCTTGGAAGGACGCCTCCCGTCCATGTGGACGCCCACGGCCGGGGAGTCGGACAGCGAGGGTGAGGTGGACCTAAAGACGGTCCACAAGATCAACTTGGAGAGAAGGAAGGAGGCCAGGGCAGCTGGAACGGCGGCAGAGGTGACCCCCCCGAAGCTCTTCCTGACGAAGTGTATGCCTCCGGGTGTTGCTGCGATGGTTGGGGTGGAGGGGGCGGGAGGAACTTCCGTTGCCGTGGCCGGTGGGCGTCGTGCCGCTGGTAGGAGGGAGAGGGAGAAGCAGCGCGCTGCTCTTAACGGGGCTGGCGTCCCCGTGGTGTCGAGGGGGGCCTCGCGCTTCAAGACCGCCCCGGTCCGGGCTGGCGTCTCGACCGGCTTCGTGGAGAAGAGGCGGGTCAAGAAGCCGGCCAAGCTCGCGTCGTTGGGGCTTGCTGCATTGGCAGTCAGCATCATGGGCAGCATCGGCAGTCTTGGTGCGCAAGGCGGTGTCTCTAGCAAGGACGCTGTCGTGTGGCACGGGTCTGTCGGAGTTGCCCATGGTGTTGACGGGCAGTGGAGCTTGCTCCAGCGTGAGGACGTGGACATGGGCGGTCTTGCGGAGGTCGCGGAGGGGGGGGATATTGAAATGGGGGGACAGGAGACCTCCGGGGACGAGGGTGAGTACCTATCCATCATTGACCCTGTCATGCTATCATTGACCCTGTCATGCTATCATTGACCCTGTCACGCTATCATTGACACCTGCTAACTATGGCAACAGACGCAGATACCGCATCCGCGACCGTTTGGGGAAACGCGCACCCAACAACAAGTGGTAAGACCGCAGCTCCGGCTTTGGGCAGCTTGTTCCTGGGGCTTTCCCCACGGTGCGGCTATTAGCCGGTCGTCCCGTCTCTGGGATCTCCCGGACCCCGGAAAGTTTGTATTTTTAGCAGAGGAGAGGGGGGGGTAGAAGTAAGTATGATTTTTCCCTTGTTTGGGTGTTTGGGATGTGGGCTGACTGTGGGTGCGGAGAAGTAGAAAAGAAAATTTAAAAAAAATGGGTATTTGCTAGGGGCTCGCTGTTTTTGTTTTTTGCTGTCCGTACCTTTTTGTTTAGTGGTAATGATTACTAGATAGTTGGGTATTGGTGGCGGAGGGCAAAGGCGGTGGGTCCTATGTGTGGGTACCTAGTCGGGTGCAGCAGCTTGTCGTCGCTGTTGCACCTTCCTCAATCCATCATCACCATCTTTTTTTTTTATTTTTCGAAGTAGGGAACTCAAATCCCCCGGAAAAGTTTCAGCAGCTCTCGGCTGTTGTAAATCACCTTTTTTCACCACTTGTACGGATCTGCTCTTCCCCCAGACACCGTGTCACCATCATCCGGAAGTAGGGACAGTCAAACCCCCCCGGAATGGATATAAAAAGCTTCTACTGAGTACAGAGAGCTACCGCCGTTCGTTTCGCCATGCGTTACGTTCAATCTCCCTTTTTTCCTCACCAATCTCCTTTCTCTCTTTCCCTTTTTTGAGTTTTCAAAACCTCGAGGATGGCCGGATAGACAAGTGAAATACCTTGTCGCTAGTAGGCCCCGAAATCCCCTGGAACGAACTCTCACCATCTCTTTCTCGACCACCTAACCTTGACTCACGCTTTGGCGTCTGCCGAGTAGTCCCCTTAGATATGCCGGATAGATTCGTCACGAACGAGTCGTTAGTAGGCTACATCTTTGGGAAGACCTAAATCTCCGCCTCCTCGCTTTTTTGCCAGTCTCGCCTTGGAAGTGCCAGGATACACCAACTGAGTTTTGCATCGAAAAACTCTTGGACAACCATCGGTCGTTAAATCATCATCTCTCCGGAACGAATCTCACCCTCGTCTCCGCCTGTTGTCACTGCATCAGGAAAATCTCTTCTGCAGTAGGGAATCGTTAAGACCCCCAGAAGTTGATATACCAAAGCTCTCATGGAGCATATGAACGTAAGACGAAGCTGAAATGACAGTTCGCAATTCACCAGTTACGCCTTTTGTTGCGTTTTTAAATCCTTTTTTTCTCCACCTAACCTTTTCTCCTCTTTCTCTCTGTTTGCACGGAGTTATTAACCTTGAAACGCCAGATAGAGCAGTCTCATAGAGCTGTTCGCTAGTAAGCGTTGTTCTTGGAAAGTACTCCCCCGCCACACCTCTCTCTCAATCTTTAGCAGCCAGTCAGAATACCATGGAACGGTGACAGATAGACCCTCCGGGAGGTCGTTAGCAGTCACCAGTTTCCATTGGATCGAAAGGACAGCAACCATCATCACCATGTTCAGTAGGCTTACCTGGATCGAAAGGCAACATTGTCTCGATCGAAAAGCACCGTGGATCGTTAGTAAGTAAAAACTTTCAGAGTCAAAACCGCATTGTTTCTTGGTCGACGATAATCATCAACACCAGCTTGTCCACCAACGATCTTGGAGTCCAGCATTCATTACAAGGACCCATCCCATTCGTCAACAATAGAACACCGGTGGTCTGCATGCGGCGCACATCATTGCGAAACCTCGATAACAAATCCTACGGGAATAATAAAAACACAAAATGAAAAGGAAACAAAACAAGCGTTTAATGGTTAGGTAAGTTAAAAAAGCGACTAACGAACTCCATTGTATAAATGTGTTCACTAACAATCTTGAAGAATTACTTAGAACTCCCATTGCTCAGTGATAACCCAGGTGGCCACCGTCAACTTAGCCCCCGCCAAAAAAAGATGCCGGGACAAAATCGCAAAAGAATAAACACAATCGGTCTCACAGACAGAGTATATCAACATCTACGCGATCAACCGCACACCAACAACCTGGTTATACAAACTTGGACCAGCCCACCCTATCTGTGACCACAATCGGCATCCCCTGGCATCGGTAGAAGGGCATGAAGTCGACACGCCTATACCCCGACAGAAAAAGGAACAGAAAGAGAAAAGGAAAAAAAAAAAAAAAAAAAGAAAAAAAAAGAAAAAAAAAGGAAAGAAAAAAAAAAAAGGAAAAAAAAATAGGATGAAGAAAAAAATGAAAGGAAGAAGAAAGAAAAGAAAGGAAGAAAGAAGAAATGAAAAAGAAGGAAAGAAAAAGAAAGAAAGAAAACGAGAAAGATTGAGAACATCATAACGGAATTGGAAGAGCCATCATCACTTTGAAAGGCTGGCTTCAAATTCCACAGGAGTTCCAATGGTCGTCTACAGTGGATATTGGAAACCCGCGGCAAGTCGGAAACTCAGCTTCCGTTATGATCAGGAAAAAAGAAAAAGAAAGGGAAAAACGACAAGCAGTTGATCAGCATGTCAGATGGAAACCTGGTTCACTCCCAAGAATGAGTACTCCGGTCGCTCGCCCTTGGGACACAAGGATTAGCCCTCACAAAAAATACGATGGTGTTAATTATTACCGCTCACGAAAATCAACGACAACTTGCCGGTGTTCCTTTCTCATCAACAACGGCAATCTGTCACCCCGCTAGCAACAGCAAAATCAACTGTTGAAAAAAATACGATGGTGTTGATGATCTGGTCCACTTGAAAGCTATTCCTAAGTAGACCACAAAAGCAACTTAAACAGCTACCTTGGCATCTCTATCACCTGCAAATAAGAGGACTTGTGATCTGGGGAAAAAATAACCCGGATCGCAACAAATAATCGAATTAGTCACTATTTGATTAACGACAACCCGACATAAACATCCGCGTGAAAAAACTCCAAAGACGCGTTTGTCTATGAGCTTGGTTTAATCTCAGTCTGGAGGGTGGAATGTTTGGGGTCATGACGGGACTTGGAGAATTTGCGGATGGGCCCAGGGCCCGGGTCCATTCGCAAAAACTCCAAATCCTCGAGTGGCCCCAAATATAACACCCTCTTTTGGGGTCATGACGGGATTTGGGGAATTTGCGGATGGGCCCAGGGCCCGGGTCCATTCGCAAAAACTCCAAATCCCCGAGTGGCCCGAATATTACACCCTCCATAGGGTGACCTAAGTAATCTCGAAAAAAAACCTGGATACGAAAAATAATCGATATAACTATAAAAAAACTAATGAGTTCCTTCCTGGAATCACTTCCTCTTTCGGACCTAGACGAGAAGTGGACAGTGTCCTATCCGGCAGCCCGAGAAACATCTTGCCGAAAATAACCCTATCTCAATATCAGCGATTAAGTGCGTTGAATCTTCGGCGCCAGAACCGGACTAAAATGGCCCGCCAAATTATGTCACGCTTCTCTTTGGAAGCATTCGGGAGGTTTCAAACTAATCTCAATCTCAATGTACCTCGCATCTCCCACTCAGGCATCATCGCACATTACTAATATATTCTCAAATTAGGTTCTTGAAACTCGCATTCTGTCATACAGTTCAACAGAATGCTCGATGCGCAGCTACCTAAAGGAAATGCATCTACACACTCACAGCTTCTATCGAGCTGGCATTAGCGCGATTAAACGACCTTCGCGCTGATTTTACGACTACTTGATCTACCAGATTGGTGTTGCGGACCAACTCCGTCTATCTGATCTAGAGGAGAGTTGGACATTATTCTCTCCAATACTCAGTGAAAAACTTCGCGAAAAACAGTTCTCTTCTGATCCGAATAATCAGTTCTGCTGGTTGATGACGCCCGCCCATGATCAAAGGGTGTGCAAAGAATCACCACGCTTCTTCTTTGGAAGTATTGATAGATATTTAGACATTATTCCAATGTACGTCACACCTCCCGTTCTGATATAGCATCGTAGACTAATAATATTGTCTTCTATTAGGTTCATTAAAACCTGTATCCTGCACTATAGTTTAGCAGGATGCTCGGCACGTAGTTAGCCTCAGAAAAGGCTTCTATACACTCACGCCATATGTCGAGCTAGCGGATCCTAGTCTTCCGGATCTTCGAACAGCTATCAGCGGTAGTCTTGCGCTAATACAAAGAATTACAATAGTACATTTCGGTAAGGAATGTAAATAGGAATCGATACGCGGTTCCTTTGGGGGGGGGGGAGGGGAGAAGACCTGGGTTTCAGGTCTGGTTTGTCTTCAAAAACTCTAGGTATTGTTAGGTCTGTGAGATCGCTATCTGGCTGGTAGACTACAGTTGAAAAGTCGCCCAACCACCTGGCAAATATCGCCTGGTCCGTCCCTTAGCTAAGGTAAGTTCAGTTTCCTGAGATAGTTTACATATAAACGCTAACAGTAAAAAACAGGTACATATCACTCTGATTGAATTGTTTCTATGGATATCCCGTCCGCGGGCCCAACGATGGGCCTAGTACTCCTTCTAAGGACGGGATCACCGTCAGCCTAGCACGACATGCCTACGATTACTTTGGTATGGGCTGGGCCTGCGATCAGAGTCTTCCGGTCAATTCTGACTTAGGAGACTTGGTTCAAGTTCCCAAATCGCCTCAGTATTTTGCGATTTGGGGGCTTGGTCGTGCTGGAAGTGAGTTCAATTTCCTTTATCATAACAGGCAGGGATCAACAGGAAAACAGGCACACCTCCGTCTCAACCATTGGCTTTACTCTACTTAGCCACTCACATCGGGTGTTTATGCATCCAAACACCTTACCTGGGGGGCCAACGTTTACTGCCCCCCGGGAAAAGGGCCGACCTCCAAAGAGCCATACACAGGCTTGGTCGGCCCATTTGGGGACTTGATCACGCTAGAAGTGAGTTCGGCCTCCTCCATCACAAGAGCCCGAGACTGATAATTAGATAGTTACACCTCCCTTTCAGTCATTGGCCTTACTATACTTAGCCACTCACATCAGGCGTTCATACATTCGAACATCCCACCTGGGGGGCCCACGTTTACTGCCCCCCGGGAAAAGGGCCGACCTCCAAAGAGCCATACACAGGCTTGGTCGGCCCATTTGGGGACTTGATCACGCTAGAAGTGAGTTCGGCCTCCTCCATCACAAGAGCCCGAGACTGATAATTAGATAGTTACACCTCCCTTTCAGTCATTGGCCTTACTATACTTAGCCACTCACATCAGGTGTTCATACATTCGAACATCCCACCTGGGGGGCCCGCGTCTAGTGCCCCCTGGGCAAGGGCCGACCTCGAGAGAGCCATTCACAGGCTTGGTCGGCCCGCTCGAGCCCTTGCCATCCTCACAATCGTTTACCTTTAAGATGGCAAGGGCGCACTTACCCTCTCTCTCGTTCTTGAGTCCGCTGTTGGGTGTCCCGTCGAAAGTTCAAATATGTTGCTTGCCTAGTGGGGATTTGCCTAATACAAAGCCAAAAAAAAGAAAGAAATAAAAAGCTTTTGGGGATAGCTCCATAGCTCAATACTGCTCCTGATTTGTGCATAGGTTGCAAGTTTTAAAGAGCGTTTAAAAACGAGCGCGAGCTCGGGTCAGTAACCCGCTTGCAGTCCGCTGTTGCATTGAGGCGGGGGTGGTTGAGAGCGGTTGATGGGTGGACTTTTTTCAACACATCAACCGGATCAATCCCCTCAAGCTTATTTTCAACAGAAGAGCGACGAGCAATTCTGAGGGAAAATGTGGGGTCATCAGGGGGATAGAATGATGGTTTACAAATTATGAACCGATACTATCCTTCAGAATACTGGTTTACAAATTGTGAACCGATTCTGAGGGATAGATTGCTGGTTTACAAATTGCGAACCGATTCTGATGGAAAGAGTGGGGTCATCCGGGGGATATAATATTAGTTTACAATTGAATTGTGAACAAATATGGCTTAAAAAGGGCAATGAACCATTGGGCAATTAACATTATTTGGGAGTTAGGCGGGGCATTTTTGGGTTGACAAAAAGGGAGAGAGAGGGTGAGAAATAAGTGAGAAAAATGACAAAGACACAAAGTTCAAGATGCGTTTGAGACTTAGGCAGAGATCAGAAGCAACAGGTATGTATCTTGATTCCTAACATATTGCAATGGCTTACTAACATATTCTTCAGGGTTGATCTCGTGGTGTTGCGACACCATCACAAGGCCATGAAGTCAAAAGGCTTAAAAGATTTACTCCTCCGGAGACTGATGGAGACCGGCCGGAGAGCACAAGGTATGTCGCTCAGATTACTCAAATACTAATGTTCTTTAATAACTAAAAATATAAGCTGCAGTAAGGCTCAGTAGTCATTAGCGACCACCTTCAATGATATGGACGTGGTACTGTCGTCGATGAGCGGTAGTAGGCCGATGAGAACGATATTCCATTCCTCGAAATGGAACACAACCACGACCATCGGTGTCAACGTGCAACACCCCACCATCAATCCACCGCAACGCCTCCTACCACTCTAGATACCCTCCACCAGTCCCGCAGAACCGCTCTTCCATAGAGACGGTGTTCACCAAGGCTGTACGGTCACCTGCGCACCTCCGACGAGTAGTGACTATCTAGGTTCTCTTCAAACTGATTACTTGGCCGCACAAAATTCGGCACCACTGCTTGATCTATATCCCCCGAGCTATCCTCAAACGCCGATACGCAGTCTACTTCGGCCGAGAGTCCTAGCACTAAGTGGATGAGCGCAAGCCTTTCTCATAGGCGGGGGTGTGAGAGGGTCAGGAGGAGAGTATTAACAAGACATCCTCCGAGACGTTGCCAGACACAGAGTAAAGAAGAGGGACACCCGGATTACGAGCGTAGGGTCAACGTAGTTTGGAAATTGACACTCCCGCCATGCACGGGGATGAGTTTGTAAGTCGTACCATCTTGATCTATGTGCTTAGTACCGGAGGCAACAGCTAATAAATCAGTAGCAGACACCCCAAACCAGCGAGATGATTCCTTCCGTTGAAAGAACGCATATCTGAGTTCGCCGCCCACTTGTACCTATGGATGAACATTCTACGATGTGGTAGGCGGAATTAACCGCGCCCCCCCCTCCCTCCCTCATCATAGATAGCAGAAACCACGTCTGAAGAGAAGGGGGATTGGATATTATTGGGGCCGTCAAATGCTAAATTTCTAGTTCTCAAATTCAACAGTTGGAAAAGCTAACTCTGTTGTTCAAATATACCGCTGGGGAAGCACCTGGGCCTCGATACCGTCACTCAACGGGGCAGAGAAAACAGAGATCAACATTGTCTGGAGCGGCAATCCACATAAAAGGTCCATCATAGCGCTTGATGGTTGCCAATGCTGCTGGTAAAGGATATTTCATTTGATTCACTCTCCTCAAAACCACTCCAAAAACCCCCCACCAGCCCTGCGGAACCATCGTTTTTATAGAGACAGTATTCAATAAGGCTGTGCGGCCACCCGGGCACCCCCGACGAGTAGCGGCCATCTTCGTTTTCGTCAATCTGATTACGCGGCCACTCAGAATTCGGCCACAGCGCCTGATCGCCATCTCACAGCTGTCCGGAAACGCCAATACGCAGTCCACTTTGCCGGAGAGTCCCAGCATCAAGTGGATGAGCTAAAGGGTTTCCATCGGAATGGGGAGGGGGGGTAAGCAGAGGGAAGAGAGCAACAACAAGGCACCCTCCAAGAGTTTCCTTGACGCTGAATGAACGAGAGATAGGGGTGGCGGATCGATGGATCTTTCAGATTGACACCCCGCCAGCTCGAGAGATAAGAGTGAGTTGGACCAGCGTTATCTATATACCTGATACCAGAGGCAATAGCCAATATATGCGCCGGGAGCAGACCCATCGAACCAACAAAAGAACGTTTCACGTCCAAACAAAGTCTTTCGGAGTTCATCACCCATTGACCCTTATGGAAGGATAGTTCACCACGCAAGAAGCGGAACCTCCCCCCGCCCCCATGACAGATAACAGAAATCACGCCTAAACAAGAGAGAGATTGGATACATTACGGCGTACTATATTAAGTTCCCAAATTCAACCGGGGGAAAGGTCAACTCTGCTGGGAAAATATATCACCGGGGAAGCACCTGGCCCTCGATATCATCACTCAACGGGTCAGAGAAATACACATCATCACCGCGATGTGTCTGGTATTTCAATCCATGCAAATAGCGCATTTACACCTCTGCTGGCTGCGATTGCCGCTGGTGAGTGTCGTTTTCCTCGATTTAGTCTCCGCCGATCCTCGCATCCCCTCCTCCGGGAATCGAGCCACGAAAAAAGTCGGTTACATAGAGGGTGAGTCCATGGAAGGGGTGACATAAAGGTAAGATACACCTTGCTAATAAGTCTTTTTTTTCTTTCATGCTAACCAGGTATCATAGGAATGGAAGAACCTGTTCCGACCGAGTCGAAAGAGCGTCCTATCCACCAGGGACCTATTTTATCAGAAGAGACTCCAGGTGTCACCCCGCTCGCCAGAGAATTCACACCCAGCACAGCAGCGTCTCCTAACATTGATGAAAGAATGAAAACCTCAGACGGCTGAAAGGAATGGGGCCAGAAGGGAGGGCCTCTGTCTGCGAACATACGGCTGGTATCGAAAGGAATTGACTGATTTGGAAATCGAGAAGGAGAAGGAGACTGGTAGAACGATCCTTACCTGAGATAGGTTAGGTTATAAGGAGCTCTGTGAGGTAGTTCCTTAGAACAAATACCATCACAATTAGTTCACACATTACTCACTTCCAGTCGGGTTTCTATTACTACCTGATGGATGTTTTGTTCCCGCAGGTTACCGGAAAGGTGGATCTTAAGGCTTTCTCTAACCTCTGGGTGGAGGGATTTCTTCTCATTGGCGCACTATTTGAAAATAGATACGATATAACGGTTTCCTGGCGGACAGGGGACGACATTCAACTTGCTTTCCCATACAAAGTTTGCTTGCCACGGAGGTGTCCGGGCGGTTTTGATAACTTGCATTATGGGCTGAGCGGTCTGAGAGCTGGATATCCTGATCTCAAATGAGAACTTTCCTTTTAGAATTGAGACGTACAGGATCACAGGGTAATTCGACCAGCATCCAGAATGGCGTCGGGAGTGAAGACGCGAGCGAAAGACCCCCAACAAGAGCAAATCGCCCTTTTTGTACAGCAAAGGCATGGTATAAATTAGTGGGTACTGAATTTATGCCATGTGCCAACTCCGCTAATGTCGTTGAAAAATACGTCGTATTGATATAATCCGGAGATCGAAACTTTGTCCGGAAAAGGGATCCGCTCTTTGATAAAGTATTGCTTCATGGCAGAATGAATGACCGAGCAAAGAGTCAGCGCTCGAAGAGAAAGAACTAAAGACGTAAGGAGCCTTTGGGAATTGCAATATATGTGTTCATGTATGGTTTGGTTGGGCCACCTACACTATTGGGTTATATAAACTTGGAGTTATTAGGTATAGACACGTGGATCGCGTCTATGTGAGCACAGTATACACAGGGAGTGCGTCAGTCATTGCACCGAAGTCATTCCGGAAGGATCGCAATACATCTCCTAACTTTATGATATTCTTCTCGACTTGAAGAGATATGTTAAATGCTAGAATTTGGGTCAGGATTATATTTGATTGGATTGACGCTTTTCATGCATCATAAGGTGAGTCGGTGTTTATTAATCTCCTCAATAGCCGGGTGTATTCTAGAAAGTGGGGCCCCTTATTAATATTTGTTTCATTCACAAAAGAAACAGCGCCATTCAAACAACAAATACAGACAGGTTATCAGCCCAGAGGTTCCCCAGATACAAACAGCAACACCAACAAACGTTTCACCACCGTTTAATCCAGCCTTTTTAACTCATTTCATTTACTTCTCACCCGTACATACCTGTCTTTATTATGACAGGTGATCTGTCTCTGATCTATCACCCCAATTCTACAAGAAGAAAAGACCTTAATTTTAGCCATGGACTTTGAGAGCTACGTCGAATGGCGCGAAGATCTCGTAAGCGACCGAAGCACGAAAATTGGGCGCACCCTCGCCCTCACCCTCATCCAACATCAGATCCGCTCTCTCTCTATCCGCCTTATCAACGCCCGTCTCAATACCGTCTACTTCCTCCAGCAGCAAAATCACCTACACCTCGAAGACCCCTCGAGATACGACCGATTTTTACAGAAGCTTAGCAGGTTCATACGGAGGATGTTGAAGCTCAATTCGGAGGTTGAGGAAATGATAGAGGAAGGTGTGGCAGAGACGAACGTTCTACAGTCTGGTGTGGATCTTAATGAGGAGATGTAGGAGGAGGAGAAGGAGAGGCGGATAAAGGAGAGGCAGATAAAGGAGAGGAAACGGAGAGAGGAGAGGGAGCAGATGGAGCAGAAAAAGGCAGAATATAAGAAGGAACTTGTGGCGAAGTTGGAGAAGATGGAAATGAGGTTGGCGGGAACAAGGGCAAAGTACAAGAGGAAACTTGAGAAGAAGTTGGAGAAGATGGAAATGAGGTTGGCGGGAACAAGGGCAAAGTACAAGAGGAAACTTGAGAAGAAGTTGGAGAAGATGGAAATGAGGTTGGCGGGAACAAGGGCAAAGTACAAGAGGAAACTTGAGAAGAAGTTGGAAAAGATGGAGAGGAGGTTGAAGAAGACAAAGAGAAGAGAGCTGGTTCAGAGGATGAACGCGGCGAGGATTGAGTAAAGAGTCCTATCCAAGTAGAGTGAGGCACATAAGAGAATAATAACTCAGTATATCTATTTCCTTTAATATAAAGAAAATCAATTTAATATCAGCGCTTCGGACGTTTTACTTCATCTTAAGCTTAATATTTTTTTTCTGCCTCTATGGATGTTTCTAGCGGGTGAGGGGGCCGGGTGCACCAATGTTGACATTTCCCATACAAAAAGTCATGTAAAAGGCTTTATTTGATGCATTAACTGACCGACTCTCTGGTAAAGGCATTCTTGACTCTTTACCGACACCTTTACTGATTCTTTTTTCAGGAACGGCATCAGTAAAGTCGTTTGTGGCAATTAAAGGCATCAGTAAAGTCGTAAATAAATACCTTTCCAATGTTCCCCGTGTTCCGCCGCAAAATTCATGTTTTCCGATGAAGCCTTTTCTTTGGATCTCGAAATAATTGAGTTCTCAAACACAATATTTCGATGGGGTCATCAAATGGTATCTGGCGTCAATGGGCTTGTAACAGTTGGGGAATAAATTTTGGTTTTAATAAATCTCTTGCTTGGCTTATACATGCACGCAGTGCTGGCCTAATGCTCTTGGCAAAATACTAGGATGCCTTGTAATGATTCGTTTCATTAGCGCTGGCTTTGGTCAATCATGTTAAGAATCACCGGTGGCCAGAGCTTATCCCCCCATGTGTGTAGACCCAAAACGGGTCACAGAAAGATGACCATCAGTAAAGTCGTTGGTAAAGTCATTTTTAATATTAAAAGATTGTCTGTAAAGTCGTCCAATTTTACCAATGACATGACTGGATATTTTATTTTGTAGATACAACTCGAGTGATAGTTCATGATGCGGAATAGCCGACGGCTCACACGTCGTGGGACATCAATCCTTTATATACATAAAAGGAAGCGTAATAGTAGGGGTTGATTTAGGGGAGAAATTAATAGATTCTCAGACTCTGCCCTAGCTTTAGGCTCTGAGCTCAAAACCTCTCATGTCTCTGCCCCGACATGCGCGGAACCGAGAATACACGTTCACATTCAAATTATGGTGTAATGATACGACTTAAATTAAAGACTGAGGTATCTGAAAACGTTCTTTTATTTTACTCTTTCCACGAAGCTGACTATAGAGATAAAGAAAGATTTTCCTATGCCTAAAATCTTCCACAGGACACATCTAACATTACCGGTTTCGATCTTATGGTTACAGAAAAACCAAAACCCAGGACAATGCTAGTGAATTTTGAAAAATTAAAAAACTCTATCTTACTCATAACAGTGGAATCCGAGTAATGAACCCCCTGCTGACCAGACCGACGCCTTGAAATTCCCACCTGTTGATAAGTATTAGTCCAGTCTATGCATAAATATTGCAAACAGGAGAAAACCGAAGCAGAAAACAAACCTAAAAAAACCACCTAAAACCCAGTAAAAAGAGAACACTCCACCGCCGTGTGTTGTAATCGATCGAGATGTTCGGCGTCGGGGCTTAATGCCTTTGGTTCTTGAGACAGACGCCGTTCGCACCCCCGCGCTCATGAGCCTGGAGCCGATCCGCCCCGTTGACCTTAAGCTTTGGGCCACCTCCAAGATTCAGGGAGAAAATAACGACTAGATGCATAAGAATGCAGCTGGCGTAAAAGACCTTCCAGAAGAAGCGCGTGTTGAAGCGACTGGTGAGGCACTGGTAAGCGGTGAGGCCTCGGATATCGTTGAGGTGGCTGACGATGACCGGCTGCACGATGTCGACTATCCCACGGAGCAGTTTGTGCATGAGACGGACTGGTAGTGAGCCCCGGATCGCATTCAAAATGCTGGCCAGACAAAGATAGACAGCGGATTGTGGGATGCTGCACACGAAGGCGCCGGTCCAATTGTACTGCTCGGGATAGGCTCTTGAGAGAGCCCACAGGATCGGGTGGATCCACGTCTTCCGAGCCCACGAGTAGAAGCCATACCAGGTGTAGTATGCGACCATGTTCCCGACGTCCTCATACCAGCTCAGCCTGGCGCCGAAGATCTTGTAGGCCTCGCACCAAAGCTTCCTAGGCACACGATCCATCGCCGTCCGGCCGCGCGAATCCCGGATCGTCCAGTCGACGCCGTGTTTGAGCAGCGCCTCAAAGGTCTCGAGGTCGTCAACGCATTTAGCTTTGAGGGCAGCCAGGTGTAGAGGAGAGGAACCACGGGGATCGAGAGTGTTGATCATGCCCATGTTCTGGCCACAGAGGACCTTGATGACATTCGCGGCGAGATTGGATGCTGCGAGGTGCATAACAGTAGTGTCACGCGGGCCATAGATGGTATTTAGGTTGATCTTATACTGGCAGAGAAGGCTCACGATTTTCAGCCTTGTGTCTTCTGTATCTTGAACAGTGATCGGGGGAGGTCGTTGTTGCGGGTGCTTGTTGAGGTGCAGCCAATGCGCGTTGCCCTTATATATCAAGGCACGCTCCATCGTGGACAGACTAATGCCGGCGTTGCCCGTGTGCACAGGCTTTGCGCCAGACCTGAGCAAGAGCTCAACGGCATCGGGGTACCCACAGTCAACAGCAATGTCGAGAGGAGTTCCCCACACTGGTCCATGGTAAGTATCCATACGGGCTCCTCCGTCAATCAGCATTTTCATAATCCCAAGATGATTGCGACTCGTCGCGACCGAAAGAGCGGTGCGATCATCATCGTCAAATTCGTGCGGATCGGCGCCCCACATGAACAGCATTTCGGCGATAGTTTTGTGGCCCGCGTCGCAGGCGAGGATCAGCGCTGTTTCGTTGGTATCCGCTTTTCGCATACCTGAGTAGCCATATTCGGTGAGGAGGTCCCACACGATCTCTTCGTGACCCTTGTATGCTGCCACAGTAAGGGGCGTAAACCCTTCCATGCTGTACATCTCGTAGAGGTATTCGTGTTTGTAATAAGAAAGGCATTCTTTGCACCCGATATCTGCTGCCCAATGCATCATTGGTACTTTGTATTCAAGGAAGGCTTTCCAATAAAGCAATACGCGGACCAACCACCTAATATCCCTGGATGGCCTCAATGCGTGAATTAAGGCATGAATCGAGGGCGAGTCCATGTGAGAAACGATTTCCTGGTAAATCTCTGGAGGCAATGCCGAAAATAGACGTCTCTCGGAACGCTCTTTCTTGATCATAGACCATTGGTTTACAGACACCTCTCTACCAAGAGCAAGAGTCAAGTTGCTTAATGAGGCATAATCGAGTTTGAGGACGATATTTTGTAGTATTCCGACGGGTAACAACGCAAGAGCGGATATACTCTTTTTTGCTATATCTGTAGTCATTGTGGGCAATGTTATGGAAGTTGTGAGGTTTTCTTATTAGGCTCTACGTCGTATCTTTGAGTTGTTAGTATATCTTATCCTCTTAGATTAATCATGTAGGAAGAGTAATACCAACTATTACTTGATGAACGTCGGAGGAAAATACTACAAGCTATGGTTTATCTTATCGTGTTACTTTTGAACGCTTCGAGCTTTAAAAAAAAGACCGCTCTTTCGTCCCTTGAATATTGCACGTCGGTGAATACTAGTTGACAATATCACAAAAAGGCACACTTTGTCTTCTCTGGCCAAGGAGTGCTGCTTCCCAACTTTCTGAATCTAGAGAGGCAATGCGAAAGGAGCTTGTATGTCTTGAGTTGAAGCTGTGAGGATCTGGGCGGACGAGAGTGTTGGTGTTGATGGTGGTGGGGTGGGGTGGAAACTCGATATTTGTAGTCTTAGAAATTTTCAGAATGTGCAAAACCTAACTTAGCCACCACACGTCACATGACTCTCTCTCGGTGCTGTCTGGACAACTACACATAGGCTGGCCACTTCAGAATTAACACCTCTACCTTACATTTATATATGGATCGAAGAGTAACGGCAGTACAGGCCCCGAAGCTATTGACCAGCGACAGGCCTTAGTTGACGAAGTGCCAACTATTTTTTGGCGTGGTGAATACGGAACTCAGTGTGGTCCTCATCCATACCTATTTCAAATACTCGAAAATAGATTTTTAAGTTTATCAAGGCTGGTTCATACATTCATATTATTGCGAATTCAACAGATATATGTAAGATCCTAGCAAATAAATAAAGAGAAAGTTAAACATTGCCCAACGGCGAGAAAGCTCTCATGAAAGATTGGAGAAAACACCCTTAGGAGCTACCCCCACTCCCATTGCCATGGGACACATCCACTTTTTCATTCTATCTAATGCCAGCGTAATACACTGCACCCAGAACCCTTCGTCGAGTTTCAGTGGAGGAGTGGAAGCACGCGACTTTTGCAAAATCTCGCTAAAGTTTCAAATCTCAACCAAAAATCGATCGCAAGAGGAAGAAGAAAGGAACGAGTGATAGTTCATGCGTTCGGGCACTCATGTGTCATGCACGCTTATGTCAGTAGGACACAGGTGCACAGGGATAAATATTTACGCACCGTTGCCAAGGCGGAATCTGACGGATGATCTTGTGCGACGAATGTCGACAGTTGAGTGGTTGAAGCTAAATTTAAATGTAGCATGAAAATAGCACTCCTAATTTATTTCACGAATCACCATAAGAAAAAGAAAGAAAAAAAGAACAAAACTACAAAAGTACTGCAGCGACTTATTTAGGCCACCCGCCCGGAGTGGATACTGCGCCCGGGGTGATACTTAAGCTTGGCACGATCCCAAGACGAAGCAGAACCCCTAACCCTTCGATGTCAATGCGATGTATAATGTTCAATTTGGATCTTAGTGAACTGTGTCATCTTGCATCATGTGTTAGTGTAGATTTTAATGTTGATATCTCTAGGCGTTCTCCGCTGGTGGAGCTTTATCACTGTATCACTAGCTAAGGAGGTAGATATAGATCTAAGATCATATTATTCCATTTTCTACCAGTCCAGAGCCTCTTTCCTCGAAACCACTTTGATTTTATATCTCGGGCTGCTAATCACCAACAGTGAATAATGCAGGAGGAATTTGACTACATGTACATAGCGACACCCCCGGTCTTACCCCGCCAGGGTTCGGTCACATAATGTATTTCATGGCACGGCGATTTATTTAGAGAAGATACTGGAGCGAACTTTCCGCCCCAATGTATGAATGAAATGGGTGTGAGGGTGTTTTGCCGGAGGTGGTCTGGAATATGGAACGTTTGTCTGCATTCATGTGCTGCGGGGACTTGCATGCCTACATGTAACTTTGACCGGCAGCGTACTACGAACGGTGCTTACTTCACATATATCTCGCAAAGATGTGTAGTATAGAGCGAAACTATATGATATTTGCTGAATAAGGCTGTGATCGGTATCGAAAGCAATGCTAAAGTGTGAAGGTAAATATCGTAAAGACTGATATGATTCCCCTCCTTCGAGCCCACTGAATAGTAGCCTACCAATCCGTGCTGTCCTGTAGATGCATTAGTCACAATCCCTTCATAAGCGGTATGGAATAGGCATACATTCTTGTTTTTTCTCGTAGGCATATCGCCGAACCCTTTCCATCTGTTGAACCATCTCCTCCACCTGTCCGATAGCATCTGTAGCTAGCAGTTGGGCAGTGGCAAGCGTGCGTCTTGCGCGCTGCAAACTCGCCCTGAGAGTGATGACATCTTCGAAAAACTCCTGTGAATGCCCCCCGATCCTGAGAATCCCGTTTGCTTCTTGGACGACTTGAGAGAGTACGCAGATCTCCTCTACCAGGACTGTTATATCTCTGTGTTGCCGAGCAAGAAGGGCCATGAGAGCCTTAACGTCGTCTCGCATTTTGCTTGGAGGTAATTTGCTGGTGGTAGCCTGTGGTTTAAGTGGTTGCTTGGACGATTGTGATGGCATTAGATGGTAGGTACGATGGTCTTGTTATAGTGAGGTGTTATATGTGTTGGGAGTGCCTGAAACATTGGACGGTTGTAATGGTGTCATTAACTAGGACAACCAGCTGAAGATCCTTACCCCTTTCATCCATAGCTTGACCCAAGTAAGTACACAACCTCAGATGTTACTCTTTAGAAACTTTGTATTCGTTGGTATCATCTTGTTCAATTGATCAAGTATATACATCTATACATTTATGCGTTTAAAGTGTGTATGTACATGTATCTCTCGGTATTTTGCGACATGTAATTCTGTTCTTTATACGCTAGACTTTTCAGTAATCGTGTCATGCTTTGATGTGGTTCCTCTCAATCTTGGCAAAGCAATACTTGACGGTGATCACGAGAAGCAACAGGACGGACTCGGATGCGTAGCTCAGGATCGTATGCATATTTAAAAGGTAAGAGCCACAGTAATATTGATGTATTCTGTATATGATTTAACCCCTTTTTTCTAATTACCTTTTTATCAATGACATTGAGAGTAATGTATTTTCTTCTAAAAATCAGCTGCAACCCCTGCTAATCATCCCCGATATCCGAAAAAATAATCTTTGAGCAAGCTTATGTAACTGGAATACTATGAGTGAGCATTTGTAAAATCTGATTAGGGTTGTTACGATCGAATCTCATTTTCACATGCCGAGATTAGGGCAATCCACCCCACAAACTCTGATTCGCTACTACCCATGTTATCTGCCGAGCTATTTCTATTCCGAGAAATAATTCATCCAAAACCACACAGCTTTTCATCAACCAATCAACTGGACGATTTGGACTCTAATCTGAGGGCGTGATTATTTCTCAACATCTTTCAATTTTCGTAGATAAGCGGTCCTATATTTTACTCAACACACCCCTCTCATCAATCATCTCCTATTAATTCAGTCGTGCATCCATAGTATGTCAACTCAAATGTCGTCTGAAGTCATTTCCTAACTACCTTTGATAGATCTCAATTTAAACCAAATTTGATATTCGAGATGGTAAAATATAAGAACACTTATCAATCGGTGGACCGGAGTGATTATAGTGAAGGAGAATCTTCTAAATCAACGCCAAGTCTCCATATAGCCATGGATCAAATGACAGACGATAACTGGCTTCCGAAGCTTCCACTTAGGCGTCCGTACAACCCATCACTTCCTCTAGTACCGTGGATCACTTCCAATTCCTCAATGGACCTTCCTGAGCTTCAGGCCTCGGCTGGTTTGCTCATTGCAAAGATCTGCAGATACTCCATCACCCCCGAAATGAAGCAGGCAATGAGTGTCTTCGATGCCGTTATCGAGTTGTCGAGGATTCTCATGAAGCACTATGAGGTCCTCTTTAAACTTAGCGTTCCGAATCTGGATGGCCCCGTAAAACCCACCAAGAACCTGCCTCTGCTTATCAACTCCTTCCTGCCAAGCTTGCTCATCATGAGCGAGCTCGCATACACATATCTCCTACAGCAACGCTCGAGCCGCACCGACGGGAGGATCACTCCTCTCGAGCTCTTCATCATTGCAACAGGCTTGCAAATCATCAGGAAAAAGATTTATCCTTATCTGCGCATCTCCGTAAACCTGCTTTACGCGGTGGAGCATACATCCAATGAGAGGAACCGCTCGTACAACTTTAGACAAATTTGGCTTCTTTCCTATGAATCGAAGATCAATTTGGATATGCCTTGGAGAGAGCTACAAGCATTCAAAGAGGAGATGCTGAATCGCCGAATTATCGTTAGACCCAAAGACCAAGATTTGAAACATGGTTATCGTATCTGGCAAGCCCCTCACCTCTGTGTTAACTGCCCGCCTCAGACTCTTCCGGCGTTACTCGACAGTTTGGATAATTCCTTGAATATTATATTCGACCATGTTCGACCATACTACCTATTTTCCGGTGGTCTGGATGATAACCCATTTCTTCGATTGCCGGAACTCCCTCTCGGATGTCGTCCACCAACAGCGTACAACCACGCGCATTGTTACCACCAAGAGATGCTCGAAGGCCTGTCCGATGATTGGTATCCCACCCGCCTCGATGGTGGACGAAATGGTCACCCTCACGAAAGACCGGACCTCCATGGACGTGTTGCAGGCTGCGTCGGAGGTCCGACCTGGTTCCACCCTCTCCACATTGGGATCCAAGCTATGCCATATGTAAGAGTTCTTCCTCGATTAGCCCTTTCCGGAATAGAGCCTGACTATCATGCAGCGCAAAAAGATCTTAAACGTCGGCCATAGCGCCCCTACTACTTCTGTTAATTCTGAGAATGTCACACCTATCCAGCCCGATGGCCCTCTAAGCGATGCCGGGGCTCTCGAGCGAAGTTTGTCCAGAAACCTCCCAACACTTATGAATAGAGTGCGTAAGTGGATGACTACTCTCTATTACGGACGTCCTCCCATTGCCACCTATTATTCTGAACCTTCCACCGACGGCGCGGATGCGGAGTTTGGTCATGGTAGCAACTCTGTTGTGAGTGATGGGGTCGATAATGCGTCGACTAAAGCTGCTTTGTCGGCGTTGCTTGCGGACGTTCCTTCTCCCCATGGGGAAAGATTGAGGTTGAGGTATGTCAAGAATCGCAGACGTGCATCTGGGGGGAAGTAGGAGGGGAAGTGAGATGTGGACGAATGCCGGGGATACTGCTATACTCTGGTTGATAACTTTCAAGTCCATCTGGGAGGAATGGGGACGTTATTATGGCAAAATGTGGACCTCTTTTGTTTGTTTTTTTTGCTCGTGTTGTACTTTGAAGGACTTGATTCGGACATTGCTTTGCTTTTTTCGGAGATATCATTTCGCGCTGAGAATGTGTCACTCTTAGAATGGGTGAAATGGGAATATAAATTAAATTTGCTGATCGAAAATATCTTGTTTGTTGAGCGTACACACCGAGATTTGCGTTCCTCGAAAATTATTCTTTGAGGCAAGAAGAAAATATATATCGGTCCAGCATTGAATTCAAATTCATGAACCTAAAAGATGCATGCTCGTGAGAGCTTTATTAGTGACATGCATGGTTATTTTAGACGATAAGTCTAACCGGCTCATATAGTCATAAATCGGACAAGTGTCGGCTTGAAGGTAAGTATAGGTATTGATGGTGATAGGTATGAGGAGAACGGTGGCAGGACTCGGTGGTGACAGGTAGTAACATGCATGATAAATGCGTACAGATCATCAGGATGGGTTCGACACTATTTGGAGCGCCAGATATACAAGGACCTCTGGCCGCCCAAATTCGAGTGATAACCCATGATCCCAATTGACAAAACGGGAGGGATTTTACAAGCAAGATTTGTAAGGGGTGAGTTGCAGAATTTCAATCTTTTGTTTTTCATCCCCTACTGATTATGGGTATAGCTTAGAATATCGATATTACCTCGATAGTAGTCGATTCGGCGATGTAGAACCAGGAATAATATTATCCGGTTGTCAGAGGGCAAGAATATTTGCATTCAGTTGATACGGGATATTAGCATAACGTTATATTCACCAGCTAAGTTCTATCTAGCGGCTAACTCTGCTTTACTTGGAGAGAACCGGATCCGCATGAGGAATGGTAGCGAGTGATAGTACATGATTCCCCTCTCTGTGTGCATTCCCGTTGACTTTCGTAAGTAATATAGACATGAGTTGACCTCTGGTGTTACATAATGGGTAGGAGAAAGAAATAGTTGAAGAGACTTGGATTCAGATAGCCCTACTTGAGCTGAAGAGCTTCCGGTTTGTGTTGATTTTACTTTCGATAACGGCGGTGCCAATACCCTAAATTGTAGAATCGAGTCTATATGACGACATGCATGTAGGAGAATAAGAAACAAATTTAACCGCGATTCAATCTGAAGATCACTTACCCCGCTATAAAGAAAGCTACCATTGAACACGCAAACTCAGAAAACAACAAAAGGCACAAAGCAAAGCAAAACGTGGTATTTCAGCCTCACTCACCTGGTAAAGCCATGACAGGAAATAAAAAACCAAACAAAACTAAACACTAAAGCGAACACGTACACGTACCCCAAAACCACCTTCCCTTCCACTCAATAAATAGTACATCACACCCTCATACCCCGCCACCAATCATACCTCGACCCATAATAATCTAAATTCTTATCCTCCTCCGGTGTCGGGGGCGGCGGTCTCATATCAAACAGCTTTCTCACGGGCGCAAGTGGAGCAGCCTTCTTTTTCTTCCAACCTTCTCGTCTCCTAGTGGCTGCGTTAGGGGTACTGGTCTGGACGGGCATGCTGGTGCAACGTTGGAGGCCCTGGCTAGGCTTGGGCTGCTGGGGGTGAGAGGTACTTAACTGCCGATAGAGATGAGGATGGGAGTTTTGAGTGTAAAGCTCAAGGTAGGGATCAAACTGGTCTGGACTGTGGGTTTTACTAACGGTTATAGGACTTACTGGAGGAGCTTCAGGTTTCGGCGGCTGGCGCGAAATCCCAGAGCTAGTTGCAGAACGGATGAGCCGAATACTTGTAGTGTCGTTGGAAGATGCACAAACGAGCTTTCCGTTCTCTTCAACAACACACTTCGGAGGATATTTATGAAGTACCACACCTCCAGAGCCTGAACCTACTACAGGTGGCGGCAGCTCTTGAGCAACAGCAGTCCTTGTACTCACCCCCGGAGTCTCTCTGTTTCCAGACTTACCAAAATTTCTGCCAGCCCTTGATTTCGGAAGTGGAAGAACCTTGCGCTGCAGCTGAGGGATAGGAATTCTCGACTCCTGAGGTGCGCTAGTCTCCTTACCCACGACTTCTACCACCGGGAAAGGACTCGCTGCGGGAACGACAATGCGGGTAAAGCGCACGATATCCCTCGATGACTCTAAAGAGGATGGGATCTTGCTTGGTTGGTGTTGGCTTGGAATTCTGGGTGGACGAGGAGTCGGATGGAGAGGTAGACAAATTCCGACGGGAGAGATGAGTTTGTAGATTGGGATTTCACCGCCTGGGCGGGGCTGACGTGTTTGTGAAACCAGGTCCTTTTCGGTTTGTATGCTGGTGGTAGAGGTGGCTTCTCTGGTGGACCTGAGTGTGATAGATGGACATGGGATGTTGAGATTCTTGGTGGTATCGAGCTCCGGGAGCAGGTAAGGAGGATCAGATGGAACTCCGTCGTGGCCAGCTGGTATCGAGACTCCCGAAAAATCCGGGCAAGAATTACTTTCAAATCCCGGAGGTGAAGAGAGGACAGAGGTTACCATAGTCAAGGTGGTGTTCCTTGAAAGGCCCTCCCTTCTTCCTAGAGGAGTGGAATGTTCCTTCCTGAGATACTCCGCGCCGTTCATCGTGCTCGGAATACTGCCGTTGATTGGTAGGCCCAAATTAGAGCGCCTCTCTTCTATCGTCAATAATCCATCTGTAGGATTTGAGACCATCTCGGAAGTAGTAGTTACTGCTTCATGCTCGTCATCACAGTATATCTTACCAACACCTCTGCAAACAAGTCCAAAACCAAAATCCTCACTGTCGTTCACAAGTTCCTCATCAGAAACAATATCACTCTCCTCAATGTCACACCCAAACACCAACCCCTTCTTCAAACTCTTCGACGACGACCACCCCTCACGAGGGCCAGACGGCGGACGATTCTCCTTTCCCGGAGCAGGCCTCTTTACGGATCCCAACGGGGTACGTGTAGGTAGCGGTAAGGAAGACCCAAATACTACTGGAGGTGACTCGAGTGTGATCCTTTCGGGAGTGACCTTGACCCAGGCGTTCTTCTGTGGCGTGCTTGCTGTAGGGTAGCTGTTGATCTTGACGCCGTTGAGTTCGAGGAGCGCTAGGGGGACGCGTTTGCGTGGTTTTTGGATTGTTTCCTTGGCGGGTTGGAGTGAAGGGAAGAAACTGGACGTTGTGGGTTGGGTTGGTGCTTGCGGCATTTTTGATGGTAGTGGAGATTGTGTTGAGCGTGCTTGTATGATTGGATAGTAAGTGTTGAGGGGGACATATGCAGAGGAAAGTGAGGAACTATATAGGGACCAGATGATGGAATATCGAATATACTGACTTGAAAGAGGTATAATTTCCACGATAACCTAGTATTCAAAGGTTCGATTTCTAACTTGAAATTATAGTAAAAGTGAATTATTGCGGAGAGAATACTTGAATCTCAAACCCAATATTCAAGTGTGTACCTCCGTATCGACACACAATTGAAATGAAGATACTAGAAGTCGCTGACTCTCAGGAAAACAAAATTAACGTGATCCAATTTCCCCTTTCCGTAATCAAATCTTCGATAGAGAATGAGTCCTCTCTTGTAGTCCGTTTCCAAATGAACTTTTTTATCAACGTTGTGCTCAATATATGACGAAAGGATTTTGAGAACCCACAAGCTCGGCTTGGCAATGGCTTTTACAGATTGCGATTCTGTTTTTTTTTGCGTAGGGGGGCTGTTTAGCACCCTAGGTAACATATCACAAGTAGGCAACGGCGCCTCCACAAACAATCCAGCCTCCTTCTCAACCAGCAACCAACTGCAAACATAAATCTGAGAATCCCCAGACAACCCAGATATCAAATTCCATCATGCCCGCCCCAGACCCCAAGACCCCTCTCGCTCGGCGAGCTTCGATGCCCTCAACATCAACCACCATGGGTCCTCCGGAGTTCATGCCCATCTCTTCGCGCACTCCAAAAGAACCATCTTTCCCACGTCCGCCAAAGCGAGCTTTATCTCCCCATCCTACTTCATCACCAAGCACCGCCCTCCCCATGTCTGGCGAGGCCTCCTCCGCGCCAATTGTCACCCCGGCCCGCCGCGAGCGCGAATACGGCACATACGACTCGCCCTGCATTCCCGATATACACCCCACGCCCATCCGCCGTCCACGTCGTACTCCTGTCAGGCGCCACTCGGCGAACCCCTTGGCGCAGCTGGGGACTGGCATCCCGGCGGATGATCGGTTGGTCAGCGATAAGAAGTATAGAGCGCAGCGGAGGGAGCATACGGTGTGGATGATCGCGACTGAAGGGACTTTGAGCTCGAGTCCGGGGATTAGGATTGAGGAGGTGGCGGATGAGGATAGTGATGAGGAGGATAGGGAGAACTTTCGGGAGTGGTGTAGGGAGGAGAGGAGGAAGAGGAGGTTGGCGGAGCAGAGAGAGAGAGAGAGGAGGGAGGAGAGGAGAGAGCGGGAGAGAGAGGAGATGGGAGAGGAGGGTGGAGAGGAGACAGGAGAGGAGACGGGAGAGGAGGGTGAAGAGTAGGGCGGAGAGCAGGATTATGTGAGATCAGGAATAGTTCTGGTATCCGTGGTTGTTAGAATTGAGAAGATATCCTTCGCTCGATCTCGTATCGTAGTCCTAATGATCTAAAAACAGGATGCCTTTAGGATCGGCTTAGAGCCAGGCCAATTTCGCGGTACAAACTAGTCCTTTTGAGTTGAGGGCTTGATGTGATTTTGTGTTGAAACCTGAATAGCATAGTAAATTATAAAATTTTGAACTAGAAATTTGTCAGCTTCGTGGTGTTTTGTTCCCCCTAATGCAAGATAGAATCATGTCTCCAGCTCTACCCACAAAGAAATGGTGAGAATCTCAGTAGGAGTAGAAAAACGAGAATCCATGGTCATGAATTCGATATGCTTTGGGCAGCTGCCCGAATGGCGATATGGAAAGGTTTTCCATTCCTTCGTTGAAATATTAGCTCTGTGAGGACAATAAAAGGATTCTTTCTTATGCAGCAAACCCCTAGGTTCTTTATCGGCTTATAAATTATATCTGATATTTTATGAACCGCCCTTCACGGTTAGTCAACCGTGTTTTTCAAAATAAAGAAGTAGTGCCTGAAGAGACATTACTTTTCCTTATACTCTCGTTAGTTACTCCGAGCCGTCTAATACCGTTATCCTTTAATTCAGCGGTCGTTCAACGGCAATATATGCTGAATCTTCTTAGCTCGGAGAGATGCCATGGTGCATGGTGAAAGGCTGGGAATGTGAACTTCGATCTTCCAGGTGTCGAAAATTAAGCTCTCGTGCAATAAGGTGCACACACGTATCCTGATAGTTCTTCGCCCCACGTCTACTTAATCAATCCAACCTTTACGATCTGGCCTTATGCTCATCTCCGAAGGTCTTCAAGCTGTTCATTGTCGATCACTGGTATTTTCTGGCAATCCTTGTTGTGTGACCTTCGCTTCGAAACACGATTTCTTCGGCCGGGTAAGAAATTCACTGCTCTTCAACCTCACACTATGACAACGGAACATGACAAAAAACTTCATTACATACGGCAGGAGAATATTTTATCACTTCGAATTAACAATTGAAGCCATTCGGTATTTCAAACACCAACACAGAAAGAAGCACGAGGTACGCCTAATGATTTCAATTGTGTGACCAATATGAACTAATTACAGACGCAAATCCTACCAACAGGAAACCACAAAAGTAACTGGCGCCCAGGTGACCTTCACTTATTCTACTTCACTCACGCAGGTTGTATAAAGTGTTCTTCTTCTCCAGAGAAAAGGTATCGACGCAAGACTCCACCAGCGTAGTCGTCATCATTGGCGGGGGGAAAACTACGGGATAGGCCGCCGTTACCGAAGATATCGAAGGCGAAAAGGTTGTTGCCAAGGACATTAGCATCTTGACGAAAATATTGGGCCCTCTGCTCCTCGTTTCCGAAGTTGTTGTTACTACCGGCAGTAGTAGTAAAGCCTGGCCATCCGGTCGAGATCGGGTAGACAACCGGAATGTCGGAAACATTGTCGCTCAACGCGGTATTACCGGATCCAGCTATACAAATGTCAGTAATAACCTCGTGAAAATGAACCAAGCGCGGCATCCTAACCTTCCTTCACCTCCTCCAAACCAATATGGCGGTCATTTCTCTGACCTTCTCCCTCACAGAAATTGGTACAAACAAGTGCCATCGTGGTGGCACTGTTGGGCACTCCAGCAGCATCGGTGGCGGTTGGGACCTCCTGGTCGATGGAAGTGGTACGAGCATCTTCCACGTACATTGGCGCGACAGGTGCCAGGTTCCCGTTACGGGCTAGCTCATCTTTTGTCTTGTCCATCTTGATATGGTCGCGATGGCGGTCTTTGCGACCGAAGTAACGATTGCACCTTTCACATTTGAACTTCCCAGCGTTGGCTGCTAGACGTTTCAAGAGTTCACGGTCCTCCTCACTTTCGGGGGGGTTGTTGAGGTGCACAGACCAGTGACGGCTGAGGCTACTAGCCACGGTGAAGGTCTTATGGCACAGCTGGCATGAGATCGGATCCGGAGCGTTGGTCGGGTTTCCATTCGCCTGTGTGCTTTCCTCCGCTGAGACATCTGCAGCAGATGACTCTGGTCCGGGTGTTCCATGAACAGTCGGCGATGCCTCCTGGCTACCAGGAGCTGAACATGCTCACATATTGTGTCAGTTTCAACAATGTGGACCGGGGTTAGATGACGGTGAGAGAAATTACCGTTACTGGAGGCGTAGGCCTGAGCATCACTTTGAGCGTTAGCAAGGGATTGGGAAATATCCATTTTTTTTTTTCGATAAAATGTGTTTCCGTAAAGAGTGGGAGGATGGGATGTGGGTGAAGTTGCAATTCTTCTCGTCGTACTGATGTGGTTGATGGAAATATGTGTGTTGGTTATCGCGACTGCTAAATCCCACTTTCCTTACCCGGTCAATTCTTTTTCTGCGTTCATCATTCTCAAGACGAGTCGCTTCTCGTGATCGTGATGCGGTTTCGTGTAACAACCGGGCTTTCGATACGTTGGCGTTGGGGATACTTTGTGGTGCTGGTTTTGGACAGTGGTGTTTCGGTAGGGCATGGTGATCAAAAGAAGCTACTATCTATAGGTCTCAAAAACCACTACTGACTGGGATATCTAGACCGTGTTGGTGGCTTGGTGATGATGTATGGGTTCCGCGACAGATTACGAATTGCCTGCTACGCCGGATATTGGTATTACATGTAGGAGGAGAATTGTTTATCACTTCGAATCAACTATGGAGGCCCTTTGCCTGTTTCAAACACTAGAACGGAAAGAGGCACGAGCGCGATATACACCTAATCATTTCATTTATAACACTAATATCAACAAATTACTGTCGTAAATTGCAGACAGGCTAACAACGAAATGATCTAGCGCCCTACTTCCGACTGTTCCTCCCCAACCTCTCCGATGATGTCTCCCTTAAGAATCATCGTCGCGAAACCCAGAAATTTGACGGAAGCGGTTCCCAGTCTATCCTGCATTGCTGGCAGAGGGCGTACCCTGAGATAGGGCGGACTTCTTGCTCTCCATTTCTTTCGGCGGAGCTGTGGTGAGGTAAGTAATAGCGTACATAAAAGGGATAAAAAAACTCATCTCACCCTGAACAAACACAACCACAGAAGAAACGTCCCCCGCTGCCCGAGTAGCGGCTGCCGCTAGCGCTGCGAGCGAATCCGCACACACATTTTTAAATATTGCCGCAGTATTGGTAGTTTCATTGGGCCTCTCGTGGACCTTCACATGTTCCTTAAAGGCTTTCTTCCGGGAAAAGTACTTTCGACAACCCGGGCAATAGAACCTTCTAGCGCGTTCCGGTGCGCGCGCGAGGCACTCCAAACCTGCCACACCCGTAGGTGGATTATTAAAGTGTCTGACCCAGTGTCGGTCGAGACTTGAGTTGCAGGTGAACTGGGCACGACATAACCCGCAAGTCGGTTTTTGCTTTGGTGTGCGGGTAGTATTTTGACCCGTAACCACCGCGCTGTTTTGTGAGGCGGAAGGCTCTGCCGCGGGAACGATGCCAATCATGGGCTCGGTGATTGTCATATCGTCTGGTGCTAGAGACACCGACATGTTCTGTTAGTATTCGCCAATATCGAGGGGCCAGCATGGAGGGGAGCTAGATACCACTTGAAGGGTTAAGTTGTTCGGATTCCATGGCGGTGGTGTTATCGTGCTCACTAGACATCGTGTACGCGGTGTTTTTGTCGATTGCTGCGAATGGATTGTGGATGGATTTCTAATTATTCTTGTCGTACTTATCTGTTTGGTGGGGGCGTGTGTGTGTGCGTATGTGGGTTATCGCGACTGCAGAACCCCACCTTCCTTACTCGGCCGATTTTACGTTTATCATTATCAAGACGAGTCGCTTCTCGTGATGCGTGCTCGGTGTAACAACCGGCCTTTGGATACGTTAAGGCTACTTGGTGATGGTGGTTTCGGATGCTGGGTGTTTTCGCAGGGGAATGGCTAATCAAAGGAGCTCAATATATCGAGGTTTTGAAGGCTTGATCTGACCGGGAGTATCTAGACCGCGGGTTGTTTTGGTGGGGTTGTAGGAGTTAATTCCGTGATGGATTATCAATCGTCTTCTACGCCGAGGGGTTATGCTGGAAAAGACAATGGCTTTACATGAGGATTGTGCATTTTAATGGCACGTTTTGTGCTCCCGGAGGGTTTGTCTTTTCAAATTAGGCCACAAATGGGGAGATATATACATCTCCATTGACTTCTCACGGAGTTGTTGTTAAAATTGAAAGCAAATAATAGCTTATCTATCACTGACATCTTCCAGATTCAATTAGGCGTGCAGTTCTTTACACAAACCTTCTGTCAAAATGCTATGGCCTTGTTACCACAGTGGGGAAAGGACACGGAAGAGGGGGAAGGATCAGTGAATGGTCGTTCAAATTTCGGCGGGTGAGCTTCATCGAAGCTAGGGATATAGAAGTTCGTTACGAAGGTTCTCATATCATATATTATGCGGCGTCAAATAGTAAATCACAAGATATTGATTTATCATCTTAGTTTTCTTCCAGTCAGTGTTTTTCCAGGCCAGGTGTTCAGATCATACACTGGTTTTTCACTTCTCGAAAAGCAAATCAGCGGTTATTTCTGCGAGAATAATCCTAGCTTTGCTTTTTCTATCGCGATCATGAGAATATAGCAGGCTTTAAGTAAGCAGTACCCCTGTAATCATTGACCCTTAGCCAAGACATATTCACAGACAATCACTCGATTCTGGTCGGAAGTAAGATAAACATATATTTAATGGCGAAGTGAGTACATGACCACCTGCTCTTACACATATATTATCTAATACTCTCTCGATAGCTTTCTTGATTCAAAACAAAAAACACTATCTATCCTTTCCCAGTTGAATTTGCAGCTAGCAGTTTTCAGTATTTCTGGTTTCAAACCGGCCCTCAAATTCTAACACCACTTTCACAACTATCTCTACCAAATCCTGCTTTACTCTAGCTCTCGACCTCTCTACTGGAGCGCGACTATAACTTAGGTTTATATGCAAATGGATCCCTGTATTAAAATTAACACAAAGGTTGCCACGTATCCCTTAAACCGTCAGGCCGAATTCAAATAACAGGATCCTAACGCAATGTGGAAATCGTGATGTGTAGAACGTAGAGTTTGTGCCTGGGTTGTTGTTGCAACATATAATCTATCACACATTATCTAAGCACAAAATTCGTGATGGATTCTGTCGTTGCTGTTCCTGTAGACGTTCCAGATATCTCGATTTCCACATTGCGTTAGGATCCTCTTATTTGAATTCGGCCTGACGGTTTAAGGGATAACTTCGTGCTTTCTTTTCTCCTTTTTTGTTCTCCAGCAGCCGAACATAGATTTACCATTGAACGGATGGCAAATAATTGTTATATATTCTGTACTCTCTAGAGTGCCATGGTTCAATGTGTGGTATGTTGAAAAGAGCACTTATTAGTTGTCGACTGCGAGGCGGATGAGAATCATGAGATATCACTCGCCACTGTAAATCTCCTCCCTTGTAGTCACTTTTTTTTGCATCCAAGCATGAACAGTGTATATGGTTAGTAGTATGTGCTTATTGTAGAAAGGTGTCTTTCGGTTTATCACAAGGGTTATATGATAAATAACGAACCTAGTTGTTACACGATACTTGGTCACTTAATCTCCACGTCGCCTCATATCGCGACAACTTCACCAGTGACGAAGTGCTTGTCGAAAGAAGGGGAACAGGATTGGAGAGTCAAATACATAAAAGATTAGTTGGTCATTCAACTTGATATCTTTCGCGTTTTTGTATCAATTCAGTTCCACGAATTGCAACTACAGTACGAAAAAGGAGGCTGTAATAGGTACTGTACCAATACGGAATTGTGCAAAACTTCCGAATTAAATCGGAATCCTAACTATTATACCGTAGCAATACCGTAACAATACTGTAACCCTACGGTATTTTGCCAGATATGGTACTGGATCCATCCGCTTTTTTGGTACTGTAGGCAGCAGATTGCAAAGGTTTTCAAAAAGGCTAGCTCGGAAAAGGAAAACTGTGCTGATAAACTGAGTCCTATGAGGACAAGATTATCATTTTTTTAACATGGCCTAAGCACGAAGGAACTAATTAAGGCTCAGTTGGACTTCATTTCCTATATAGAGCAAGAAAATGTGTAAAGCGGAAAGATGACGAAAAACGAAAGAAAATTCTAGCGAGAAGTATCAATGAAATTTTTCTACTCTTCAGCCGGAAAAGGTGTAAAAAGGAAACATCGAGAAAAAAGAAAAATAATTCTAACAAAAGAGACATCAATGAAATCCTTCCACTATTTGCTGTCGTAAAGTAAGAATATTACAGCATGAACAAGGAATTTTTCCCACCGAAAAAAACAGTTAAATCTCCCACACAATATTCAGGCTCCCGGTAACGTGAAGAAAAAAATGACGAAAACGAAAAATATTCACCCGCACTCATCCTTCCCGTTCACAGTCAATGCTTTTACAAACCTCCTACGCACTACACCTCAACCTAATCATGTAAAAACTCCGACCAGTGCCCATTCCTTAGCGACCGCCATTCTCAACACTCGTTGATAACTTGAAAACAGAAAAGCTCAGCCCGCAAAGAACAATACCCAGCTAGAGGCCCAGAGGAGAATTCATCGAGAACATGACAATCCACCCTTAATCTTCCATTGGACCGGCCTTGACCCTTAAGTTGCACTAGCATTTCCAGTGCTGGCAACCTTTCCTCTCATACGCTTGGCGCGGTTGTTGCCTGTCTGCGGCTGCGCCTCATTCGGCTCGTCTTCCCCCAAATCGCCATGGTCAGTGTTGTCCAGCTTTCTTTTCATCGGCGTTTCGTCTAGTTTCCCCTCATCATGAGCCGCATGATGCTTCTGCAGGAAATATTTGGTTTTGAAAGCGTCACCGCAAATTTCGCATTTGAAGCGAAGTAGTGCGGCCTGGAGGGTTGCGTCATCCGGACTGTCTTTTCCATCACCCAGCTCCGCTATTTCATGACTCACGCGGTGTTTATCGCGTAGATACCTGCTTCTAAATGTAGCCGTACACTCCACACATGGAAAGCGAGTTGGTTCAGGATCAGGGGCCTTTCTCTGTTCTTTCTCGTTTCCCTTCACGCTTTTGACGTCGTCCGCTTCTTCCTCATGGTCTCCTTCGTCCAACCTTCTATGGGCGGCGTAGTGGTGCCTCCTCAAAGATCGGCTTGCAAGGTTCGCCCCACAGAGGCGGCAATCGTACAAAGCCGCGCTCCTAGGCTCGGTTGGATCCTCGACAGGATCGCTACCCCTATAATTGAAATCGTGGTCGTCTTCTGTGTTGAAGGTGGTTTTACTCCTGTGACAGCCATCTCGCATGAAGGTGTTGTCTTTGTCGTTTTTATGGCTTCTCATATGTGCCTTGCGGATATACGGGCTTGTCAACACAACTCCACAAACGGAACACGTGCTGACGTTGCCGCCCTCCTCATGTACTCTCTCGTGCACAACAATTGTAGTCAGCCGATTCGACAACATCGGGCAGTGCCTACAGCGGGAGAGAGGTTTTCCCTTGCAGGCTTCCTCCGCGGTTTTGATTTGCGCGGGAGTTAGAAACTGCGGGCTCGATAGATGTTGCGCGTAATGGCGCTTGAGGGAACTGGAGTGTGATAGGACTCCATCGCAGAGCTTGCATGTCCGTTTGTCGACTGGTTCGTTCATGTTTCGTTTCTTTCTTGGAGCGGGACCCTTGCCGTCCAGGTGCGGTGGCCGCACCATTGGCGGTGTTCTTTCGTCGGGAGATTGAGACTGTTCTTCGTCCATACTATCTTCGTCGACATTCCTTTCGCCCTCGCTGAGGTGACGTTCCTGAGGTTGACAAGATGATTCCTCCACGGGTGAATTCGACGGGTCGTAATTATCTGAGCCCTGGCTGGGCATCACCGAGTGGGGGTTTTCGATTCCCTGTGTGTTGGGAGCTACCGACTGATAATGAAATTGACCAGCATTATCCCCCAAATGAAAAGCGTTGCCTGCTTTCATGTTAGAATCTTAAACAGTATAGAGGCTAAAGGATGGATTGGACTAACCAGCAAACCCCACCGGGGGACTTGATATATTCTGGTGCTCTAACGCAGTAGGAGGATGAAAGAACGGGTGAATATTATTCGGGATAACGTGGCTTGTGTAGAATGGGCCGTCGTGCACCGCTGACGCCTCGAAGCCGTAATGAAGCTGAGCGGGAGTTATTGTTTGAGGGTAGTGACCGTCGTGGAAACTTTGAATGAACCCTTGCTCGATCTGTGATTGATCTTGAGGAAAGCTGGCTCCCGTGGTCTGTAGGAGATCTCTGGGAGTATCTTCTACCGCAACTACTCCTACTGGGTTCCAAGTCACCATCTGTTCAATTCCACCTGGAGAAGCAGCGATTTCTTCGCTGCCCAGAATTGGCCAAGCGGTGAATTCTTCATCTATATCCATGATGTCTTAGTAAACAGATAAACGTGCAGAGAAGACAGATAAACGGGAAAGGGGAAAGAAAGATAGTAAGGATAAGGGAAAAAGAAGGGAAGCCAAATAAATAGGTTCAAAACAGAAAGAGAAGAAGCGCATGCTGGAAGGTCTGTGTAACATACTGCCAAGTGCTGCGATATACGTGTCCCAGTCAAATTTATTTAAAAGGTCTTCCATTGTCATCGTCATCGGGGGCGGCTCAACCGCGGCTCCGTTCGCGTACATTTTTGTCCGTTGTGATTTTTGTTCAAAAAAGATGTCAACGTGCTGACATCTTCTGTTGTTGTTTTGTATACGTCTTAGCGAACGGTTGTAGTGGTTGTGTTTACTTATTCAGTGCTAAACACAAATTAGGTGGATGAACCTTGGGCTCGGCACCACCGAAATGGGACAGGAGCGTGGGAAATTAGAATCAGAATCTATGCCCTGTGTCTCCGCGCTTTACATCGTCTTCATCAATTCACATTTGCTGGTGCTGTTCTACTCAAGGTGGGGATACAGTCTATCGGGGAGGTAAGCCAATTGACCGGTCAAGTCAAGAATATTCCCCGATAAACCAGATTATCCGTGAATTGACTGTGTCCCTGGATTGACGGTCAAGTCAGGAATATCACCAGATTATCAGCTATTAACGTATCCATAAGCTAACCAACATAGTTCTCAACCTTTTGGCACAGGCACATAGGACGCGCACTGGCCTACCTTTCAACCCTTCTTACCCGCCAATTCTAAGAGCCATTTTGACCTATATATCAACATTCACTGATAGTGGGTGCCTTTTATTCGTGGCATTTGTTGACATACAGTCTCTGAAAGTACCATTTGGTATTTTTAGGGTACGTTAACACATATGCACAGTTCATTCCAGAATAGATCCACCAACTCACACATCCCAATCAAGTGAGGTATATACTAGTCAATGTTATGAGATTCCTGAATTGGCCGTCAGCCCAGGAAGACAGTCAATCCGGGGGTGTTCCAGTTTATCGGAGAATATTCTTGACTTGACCGGTCAACTGGCTTCTCTCACCCGATATTAAGCCGAGTCATCAGGTTGACTAGATCAGTGCCAAATTAAAACCAGCAATCTGGAAAGAGAAGCCGAAGAGGACTCTAGACCCCGGGGATTGTTAAACACCGACTGAAAACATGTAAAACTTAAGCTGACAAGTCCGTTATTCGGGTGTGCTAGTTGTCGCACATGGCTGGCCCCGCAATGCGAGTGGTGATTCTGGTCTGAGCATGAGTTCATGACCCGTGTGCCCTTCCTGCCACGCGAACAATAACTGGCTCACCAAACAACAACCTCCGGCTTAATCAGAGATATCATAGAGATTTTTCTTTTTAAACAGAATTCAATTAAAGTCAAAATAGCCATCTCTGTGCGATAGCTCATACCACTCCCGACTCCCGAGGATCGACTCATGAAAGCCATATCGGCTTTTATGAGACTAGTAGGAAAGAGGAGGAAGAATTCGTTGCTCAAACATGACAGATCTCGGGGAAGGAGATATTATGGTTCAAGAGGGTCGAGCTAGAAGGTCTAGTCGAGCTCGTGTCTTGCTTCATGGACGATTTCGCCCCCGAGGGCCATCACCATATTTGGGGTGAGCTAATTTTCATTTTCGCCAGTGGAGCAATATAGAGAATGCAATCGAACTTAGGATCACATTTGATGCTAGACCTGCTCTTCTAACCTCGGTTTAGAAAGAACTGAACTGGGTGTTCGTTTCGTTTCTTGTGTTTCGAGTTTGGGGGGCGAGTGAGGGGTTGTGTCTGGTGTTACACAGATTTCCGCGAGTCACAGTCCCTCACTCGGTCTTGGCTTTTTGACCTTTGGAGGACTTTTCTTTTCGCATCAAATTATCGTAAATTTTTAATTTACCTAGACTCAATTGCAAACTACCTCCAATCTAACAAATCAAGAACAATCTTCTCGATAAGTCCATGTCCTGTTTTCCTCTTCTCAATGTCATCACAAATACCTCCAATCTCTCCGAAAACCACAACAAGGACCTCGACCTCAATAGAGATGATGCCTATTTACTCCTCCTCATCCTCTCCACCGCCATGGTAATCTTACCACTCAAATGCTTAATCCTATGCTTCAACTTCGGCTTCCTCAACCTCTCTTCCACCACCACCACTGGCACCCCCGGCTCTTCTCCACTCACCTCACTCGGCACCTCTCCAACATCTCCCTCCGGAGTCACCACCCTTATCCCCCCCTCAAACCCATCAAAGTTCAAAAAGCTCAACCCCGTCCTACTCCTCTCAAACCTCACCGGCCCAAACTCCGGATTCGACGGCATCCTCTCCACCCTCTGCACCTCTCTCCCCCCTGTCCCTCTGATCTGATACACGGGCGTACTCTCCCTCGTCAAACTCGCCTGCGCCACCACCGAACTCCCATCCCCCTCACTCTCATCATCAAAGGGTGTCCTCTGCCTCCCGATGCCGTCAAAGCCCGCAAAGATATCGAAGCGCTCTTCATACGTGAGCGAATACGCCGCGGGGAGATTGGCGAGTGTGGGAAGCATGTACAGCGACTGCGAGCGCGACATTTTCGGGAGCACACGGATGGGGTCGGGCATGGGTTCTTGGTGGATTGTGCCGGAGCGCGTGAGAACGTTGCGCATGGGGATGACGGGGTCGTCGAAGCGGCCGTCGTTCTCGATGGGATCTTGGAAGCGGTCGTGCGCCTCCTCGGGGGTGAGGTTTTGGAGGCGGGTTGCTCTGGCTCTTGTGGTGCTGGAGGTGCTTGGAGAGGTTCTTTTGAACGTGGATGTTTTGCTGTTTTCTTGGTGAATAGAGCCTTTAACGCTCCGAACACTGACCTCCGAGATCTCTCCGAGCGAGACTCTACTGCCAATATCAAATCTAGGCAACTCCAGCATAGAAACTGGCGACACCGTGGGACTCCTATCGGGCACCACATCTGCCCTGACCGTACTCTCGAGTACATACGGACCCCTATCTGCAAAAGTCTTTCGTCTCTGTATCATCGTTGGGCTGCTCTCAGGTTCCGGTTCCGAGTCATCAAGCCTTAGCCAATACGGCCCTGGATCGTCCACGACATAGGGGCCGCGGTTGGCGAAGGGAGTATAGGGGCCTGTGGACCTTTCAGGCTCAGTGGTGGGAGGTGGAGGTGTGGGGCGAGGGCGGGGCTGAAGGGTGGCGGAGCGGAGCATGCTGGGGATGGGGATGCGGCGGGCGGTGGGGTCGGGGTTGGACATGTCGCGGCGGGCAGGGCGGCGTTGGAGTGTTTTGGCAGCGCCTGCGGGGGAGGTGGATGTGGGCTTTGGTGTGTTTGGGGATGCCATTGGTTTCGGTTTGGTGTGAGTTTGTCGATAGTTCTGGAGTTTTGTGGAAGTAGAAGTTGGTAGAAGCTGGTAGAAGCTGGTAGCTGTAGTTTCAATTTTGATATTTGCTATGCAAGTTGCTGATGATAAAGAAGTAGACTGTGGAGAGAGCTCGTTTTATGAGTGAAGTAGTTTTTCGAGTAGAGACTTTGGGTCTGTTGAAGAGTTTCAAATTGTCGGTCATATTAGCTTGAAAGTTTGAAATCGTTGCGGAACTATGAAAACAGGCCACCTCTTGAAATGCTGCGAATAATCGTAGTACTCCGATCGTGCGAGACGCTCTCTGTGAGGTGTCTGGAAAATAGCTGAAGAGGGAAGTCTCTGACCCTCACGAGATACACGTTTCATTCCGTGACAGCAACTCAGTTGGGTCGTGGGTAGATAGCATCGATGTCGACGTGGAATGGCTTGTTGCAGGGACAATCCTAACAGATTGTATGTTTGTAAAAGAATGGAAACGTGAGTCGGTAAGTTGGTGAAGTTCGAACGTGGTTAGTCGAGGGAGTTAGTACGTGGTGTTAAAAGAATGACTTCGTGGGCATTTGTATTGAGATGATATCTGTCTTTATTATGGATTAGTTAAATAGGCAGCTGAGCTCCATTAAATATCATCATTCCTCACCTTGCTATCCCACAAGCATGCCTTAGGGGTTGGGTTAGCCATGACCAAACCCGGCGGTGGTGCTTTGAGCCCAGCCCTCCAACTTGGAATAGTGACAGTAGAGTGGGTATATGAGGGCTTGGAGTGGCCTTTGAAGCCAGATTTCAGGCAGTATGGGGCCTGGGCAAGGTAGAGAAACAGTATTAATGTCACATACATATTTTAGCCAAGGTCGTCAATCACTCTTATGAAGTGAAAATTATCACAGAATCAAAGGCGTTTGCTTTTATACCCCCACTCAGATCTCTCTATTACAGATTAAGTTTCCACACTCCTCCCATTATCACCAGATTTCCCCCAACTATTTCCTCGCACACGAAAGCTGCCGGGATAATGATACTAAATACATGCAGCTGACGACTCAAACACTAAAATTCAAGATTATCAACTCCCTCCCTCCTCCTCCGTTGCCCCCCGAAACCACCACTGCTCCACTAAGCGTTCAACAACGCGGTCATCCCCGCCCCCTCATCGGGGAACGTCTCAAGGAGGCGCTGCATAGTTTCGAGATCCATACTATCCCCGACATTCTCATGGGTAAACTCGTCAACCATGAACGCCGATTCTCCGGGGTTGTGACTCTGGACACGGTTCGGGCCCCAGTCGACCTTAGGTTCGGTCTTCTCCATCATGGCCATCCCCCAGTCGGCAGCGGTTCTGACCACATTTGGCTCTTGAGGCTGCTCGGCGCTGGCCGCGAGGGGGTCGTCGAATAGGCCAGGCATTGCTGCGAACTCGGTGTTGTCGCCATGGGCTTCGGCAGTAAGCATAGCTTGAAGAGTGGCTTCCTCTCCGGGCTTGGTGTTGTCGCCATAGGCTTCGGCGGGAATGATATCTTGAAGAGTGGTTTCCTCTGCCGGGTTGGTGTCCAAGAGACAGTTATGTTCCCCATACTCACAGTTGGAGCTGTGCGCCATCTGTCTCTCCAACTCACGGTTCATCTTGTCATACTCCACCCCAGCCCTCAACACACCTCTGTGTGAGAGCAACCTATCATAATCCTTCTTGAGCCCCGGCATCTTACTCTGAATCTCCAAGATCTCTGCAATGGCATTCTTCGCCATCGTGGCCTCGTTGGGATACTCAGACTGTGGAATGTGAGCACGAGCTTGCAGAAAAGAGGCAAGGGAGACGCCGGTATTATTGCGTGGGGAGTGCAGGTAGTTGTAGAGGATGCGGAGACGGCGGTTGTTGTCATTGTGGGCTTTACGCAGAATGCGGATTGAGGCGTTGAGGTCCCGCTCGTAGTCGGTTTGGTGGCGGCGAGTCTTGTTGTATGTCATGATGATGATGAAGGGGGGTTTCGATGATGGAGATGGGGATTTTGGGTATTTTTCTTGATGGGTTTGGGGGCGGAAGGGAGGGAGGAAAGAGGGGAAGACGGCACGGCCTGTGGGCATTCGAAACACGGCCCGTGAGGATATCTACTGCGGGCGGGATGGACAATACTCTCAATCGCGTTATCTCTGCCGTTAGATCTAGAATCTAATCAGTGCTGCGCTCATTGAAAATCTGAGGATAACAGCTGTGAAAATTGCTTACATGATGAATGTTAAAGGAGTTTTACAACCTTCAAGGGTATTTCAGAGCCTACCATGATAAATGGCACAGGATAGTCCAATTTAATACTTGACAGACGCTCACCCAAGTTTCGAAAAATCAGAGCATTTATAATTATTGGGATTCAATTGAGGGATTCAATTGACAGAAACTCACATCATGAGATGAACTCGCTTAGCCGCCGGGCACCGTTTCCCACTTGCCTAGTCTCACTAGAATTTGCGTACTCCGATTAGACCTTGCGTGGTCCAACCCAGTTACATATAATTACTAAAGCAAATGCCTCTAAATTCGGTTTCGGGAGTGCGGTACGTTTCGCAGGGGGCCGCGCGGATCTGGAGTATTTCTGTGTTGCCTAACGCGTTGCTAAGTACAGAGGCTTTGGTAACTTTGGTTGCCGTTGCAACACAAAATTTATATGGGAACACCATACAAAACCAGAAACCCTCAAATAATGACTTTAAGACTTAGACCACATATACCTAAAAATACACTCAAGATTCTAGAATTCTCTGAGCTCCATCTTGAGATAATTTCAACTGTCCTCGAAAAGTTGGAATCTTTTTATCAGGTTGGGTGGTTGTTTCGGGTAGCGAAACATAGCTACTTTACCTGTAAAAAGGGTATATTACCAAAACTTCTGTCCTAGTACTATAGTAACGCATCGTGCTTAAATAGAACTTACTGATTTACAAGAAGGGAGAGCATTTATAGGTGTGCTCGGAGAAGCTTAATTAAACCGTCGGTGGTGAAGTGATGTGCAGGGATGTGTCTTACTCATCATATCCGAGTGATGCCTTATGAGGCGGGCATACAGGGATTACATGACCCCGGTAGACAGGGATCTGTCAAGGACACGATCGAGGACAGATTACCTGATAATATAGGATAGAGTCATCCTAGCGACGTCGTTATGTATCTAGGCGGGTAATATATACGTGCGTGGTTGTGAACAAAAAAAATGCCAGTGGTAACGGGAGAAACTTCGGAGGTTCGGACCTTGATCTAGGAATGTATTGTTGAAAATAAATGGAATAGATTTTATTTGCCTACTCTTTGCGGTATTATCGTTTAAAGGGACTGTATGATACGGGAGACGAAGAAGGAGAAGATAGAGGAAGAAGGAGAGCCAAAAGAAAGAGGAAGAAGAATAATTTGAGGACTACTACGCGATTAATTGCTTGATTGATCGTTCATTAATTGGGCTACTACAAGGTTTATTACAGCCTTTAATAGCAGTTTGAGAACACGGTCACGAAAGAGAACGCACAGGCAGTTCACAGCTGTTTAAAATCATTTCGCATTGTACTAAAATCTAGATTATAGTACAAAAAAGGAAGACAAAGGGAATCCCAAAAGGCAGACCAAAAGGCACACCAAAAGGTAGACCAAGCTTCGCAAGCCCGCGGAGGAAACTAGAACTTCGACTCCTCAAAGCCCTTCCAGTCCCACTCGTAGTGGCCCCACTCCATTTGAGCCCCCTGTAAGCTGGTCGCCGTTGCCTTCCCCTTCCTGACGTTTTTTTCGACCTTGATTTCTTCCTCTTCCTCGATCGCCTTTCCTTTGCCCTTGTAGTTCTCTTTCTTCAGGGCCTTCTTTTGAACTCTTTTTACCACCTCTTCCTCGGGCTGCTTTCCTTTGCCCTTACAGTCACTGCTCGAGACCGGCTTTTTCTCAGGCTTTTTCTCTACCTCCTCTCCTTTCCCCTTTTTGCCCTTGATTAGGACCATCTTCACGACTTTCCTCTCCACCTCTTTTTCATTGTCGGCTATCATCACGATCTTCTTCTCCACCCTCTTCTCTACCTCTTTTTCTTTCCCCTTCTGGCCCTTCACCAAAACCTTCTTCTTTACCGTTTTCTCGACCTCTTTTTTCTCCTGCGCTTCCTTCACTTCCTCCTTCTCCCACTTCACATCCCCCTCGACCTTCTCATCCCACCACTTCAACTCCCGCAACAGCCTCTCCGTGGCCGTAACCACATTCAACGCATCCTCCAATTTCCCCTGTACAGCCTGCAGCTCATCCTTCTTCGCCTGCTCCTTGTCCTCCTCGACAAGGCTAGAGGTGCTCTGGTTGCTGTTCTCTAGCTCGCGCTGGAGCGTGGCGTTGTATTCGTACATGAGCCTGCGGGTGCGGAAGAGGATGTAGGCTTCGATTTCAGGGAGGGTGCGGGTGTCTTTTGAACTGCATGCGGCTGGGTGTTAGCTTCGCCGGTGGGTAGAGAGCGGGGAAGGAGAGGTGGAAGGGGCTACAAACGTGGAGGGGATTGTGCGGATGGAGGAGGAGCAGGTGGAGCAGTTTGAGCAGGCGCTCTCGGAGGTGCAGACTGAGCTGCAAGACATTGTGGTGGTGTGTTGGTGTTATGTAGTATTTTTTGGAGAGAATTCCAGTAGAAGAGCGAATATGGTGGTTGGAAGAAGAGGGTGTGTTTGTAAGAGAAGGAACAGAAGAAAGTTAAGCGGGGGGGCTCGTTTAAATAGCGGGGTATTGAGAGAGATTGGCTTTTTTTCGTCTTTTTTTTTGTGGGTTGGGTATTGTTTGACGGAGCGTATCTTTTTGTTTCGATCTCGGCGTTTCGGCTCGCGGGTGTGTCCTGTCTTTCGAAGCGAGACTAAAGGCTGATAAGGGAAGGTCATGGTAGTAGGCGCGGGACCAATGATAGGAATAATCGTTTTTTGCAGGTATTCACCCACAACCAGACTCTGGGAAACTTCTTGCCCACCTCCTGTCTGTTTATCTTTTCCCAGGCTGAACCTTCTGGGTTAAAGATTTGGGAATGTGTTCGACAATAATCAGTGTGCAAGAGAGATCTCATGAACCGACTATATATCGTATCTTTCCTGAGACGCTAAGAAAGAATGGAACGGTATTATTATTTTCCATAACATCCATTTTCTTTCTTTTCTTTGTTTCTCTTTTTCCATATTCTCCGTCCCAACGTCATAGCCGATTGGTTTACCGAGCCTAAGTAAATCGAATCTGTGAGTTAAAAGCGTTAGGAGGGATGGGTCAGAGTTGGGAGAACCTATAACTGTAATACCCATCCTAGCCTTGGGCACAAAGATGTGTACGTTGCTTTACAAAATATTTGGCCAGATTTTTGCAATCTTTCAGACCCACAGCTGTTAAGATAAATGATCTCTCATGTCCTCCCACTACCGGTCTCTCCGTGAACTAGGTTCTGGCAGTTCGGCAAAGATTATTGTGTGGTTGCGAAAACAAAATATAAAGTCCTAGGAGAAGATTAGTGATAAACATGGAATGAAAAGGACAATCCTGACTTACAAATCTGTATTTTCGTATCATTTGCAGCCGGGATCGATGGTGTTAGGTGTGGTGAGGTGGATTGATATTTATTCGACCGAAATTTGCCAATTACAAACGACGTGTCCTCCAGGAGGATCTGTTTACGAGGTAGTGCGCGAGGAGCGTTTATGTGAACTGCTCTTCTCGTGGATTCCTTCTATCCTTCATCGCACTCCACCGGACCGGACCCATGCATCGGGTATGACGACATATACATGTTCCTTTTATCCTAATTTTCGTCTTTAGCTAAAATACTCGTTTGCCCAAAATTATTTATCTTTATTTGAGTTGGGAGAGAAGTACCTGCAGAACTGTCGAGCATGATAAAATTAAGCAGGTGAGGCTCTGCGCTTTGTTCAGTTGGAGAAAAAACATCGACCGAATGTGAAATGCACCCTCGCTTAGGAACAACAGTCTTATTCCAGTTTGTCGGAGGTTTCTAGTTCAGCTCCTTTGCTGCGATCGCTAAGTTGAGCAGGTGGAGACTTAGGGATCTTCACTTCCAAAAGATATGTTTATCGCAATTTTATCTTGATGGTAGAGAGAAAAAAGAGAAAGAAATTGAGGTGTGGTCGTTGCTAGCCAGCATGTCTATTTGGATAACTGTCCTATCAAAAAGCCACGTCAGTCTTTCTTTCCACCTTACCCCGCCAACAACACCCCACAATTTTACCTTTTTTCAACTCTCTCAACCCAACAAGATCTTTTTATCTCTATGGCATCTACTGGTCTTCTGCCAATTCTTTATTGTGTTCTCTCCGAGTTTAACTCTTTAAATCTCACCATTTTTTCAATCCTATCAAAGCACGACACAAAGCTAGAGTTCGCCAGATACCTGTCGGGCATGATCAACACCTTCTTGCTAAGCTTGTTTGCCCCCTCCTCATACCAAACATATCCACCCTCCATTTCAATATCCCACATAAAAATCCTTCTCTACCGGTTTCTTCACTCCCCTTTCCTTACTTACCACTCCCTGTCATCACTCAATTGACCGTTGATGCAGTTCTCTGAGTATGACAAGCTAACCATGAATTTAGACGCCGTCAATAAACTCATGATCAGCAATTTCTCTAGGTTGTGACGTGTACTACTATCGCCCAAGCTCGTAGACTCGTCATGCGCCAGAGCAGTCGTTGTACACTTTCCAGTCTAGAGGTTACTGCTGAGAATGAAGCGGTTTAGTGCGACTTCTTCTCTGTCTGAGATTATTTGAAGCGGTGGTGCAGCCCTATGGCTTAGACCCTCTTTAGCATAGTGCAGAGCTCAGCATGCGATCTCATTGATAAATTGCAATAACGCTCCGATAATCGTCAAGGTGGAAACCCATTCCGGGGTTAGCTTATTTGTTACGCTCTGCAGGTTAAATATATACAACTCCTTGACATATATTACAGCCCGGGCGCTACATCGGAGCAGCCTTGTTTATGAGCTTCTAGATGAATTTTGTTTGTATCTCTCTTCGAGGTTGTATTGAAAATCTGTATCTGCACGTGTCATATTCAGATAAGAAGGAAGTTATGGTAAGCTACAATCTCCGTTCGTCTGAGGCATGTAAAGGCTAACCCGATACCATAGGAACAGTTCTAAAAACTGTCAAGAGAAACTAGGGCTTTCTTGGAGCACCGATAGACCAACCCGAAGATGACCTTTGAGAATATTAATGTGCGCTGGAAAGGTGGAACACTCTGTATATACGGGATAATATATGGATAATCCGAAGAGATGGTGGGGCTGATCTACGGGATTAATCACTACCTCGTATGGCGGTAGATGCACTAGGTGAGACTTCCAATCGCGAGAACACATACATGGGAAAGATAACAAGTTAACAACATAGGTTTCAGTACTGGCTCTCAGAGCCGGAACATCTATTTCAATTCCTGGATCATTTCCTTATAATACATGTCAATCTCGCTTGCCAAGGCGTGGGGTCTTACTATCACCCATTCAACGTCCTTCCATGCGATCTCCAAGCATGGTTACCTCCATCCCATTATAGAAGGTGTTTGAAGATATCTAGGTTCTTTACTGCAGGTTTTATTTGGATAGTAACCCGGAGTCTCAACGATCTTAGGAAAGGAAGGAAATTAATTTAATAGACTATAGTGCGAGAAAACCTCTGAATGCATTCTAGCACAAGGCCAGGGATGTTCAGGCCGAGCGTGCGAGGTTCTAGGTAGTCAGCTGGCCATATGAGGGGATTTAGCCATACACGCAGGTATCACCCAACACATCGGAAATCGCTACAATCTTATAGAGTCCTTATGCATTCACCTCTAGTGTACATTTTTTTTTAACATCCGGGGTCACTTGATATTAATAAGATACCTATCGGCTTCTTGTGATAAGGTTGCCATGTCTTGAGGTTTATTCATTTATCCGTACACGTGCGAGCCTTATTTCTATTCACATATCACCCACCTAAAGGGATAGGCACCCGGAGCGGGGAGCAAGCCCCAAAGTCTGTAGATATTCACCGGAGTAGAATTATATCATCTTCAGCCATTTTGCACTTGAAGAAGGTTTTGCGGGTGAAGGGGCGGGTTTGACAGCCAAACGCAATGATGAAGATCTGCGAAGTTTGATAAATAATCTTTTTGAGCAAAGATTATACTTCCCTCAGCCTACTAAGCAATTGACTAGTATCTACCTGGTGTAGTCGGACTATAGCGTTTCCAGTCAAAAATATATAGAAAATCTTCTATTAAACAAAAAAAAAAAAAAAAAGAAATTTAAAATCTTGGATCTGGCGGAGGGAATCGAGTGACGGTTCATGACGCAACGGTCGAGTGATAATCCACGATTTGATCCCACTGTCATCATAATCCCCTGTATACGTATAGCATCAGGTAACATAACCTAACTAAAAGTAGGAAAGATTTATGCAGACAAACTAATTACGCTCTCGATGTTCTTCGCCTCTTTCCTTCGAACCATCGATGAGTGCGACCCAGAACAAAATAATCGCCGGAGGTGCGTCTGCGCTTCAGAAACCGCGAGGAGAAACTTATCTTGAACCTGTATGAAAAAGTCACGAAGCTGGGTCGTAGAAATCATAATTGTCTCATAAGAATTCTCCTTGATATTTATATCTCTGAGAACAACAGAAAGGATCTTATCGGAGAAATCGTGAGTAGGGCTTGAATGAAAATTGCTCATAGTGGAACAAAGGTATGGCCGTATTGAGCGATCATGCAACTAACCCACACAATTACAGATTTCGAGAAAATCCGAGGGAAAAAAACAGGATATATGGGGAGCCACAGGGCGGCGTCTGGCCTGCCAAATTAGCTCACACTTCGGGTATCTATTCCGGGCAATTCTACTGTAGCAGAGGATGCCTTAAGTTCGTGGGTCGAGTTTTTCTGTTGAGTTTTGGATGTGAAAAATCATTTTTGTTGATCGTATGTCGTTAAAGCGGTATTACACCAGAAATAAGCATTGTGATTGGGGCGGAGGTCTCGCTAAATACCAGCTAATCCTGCATAACGTAAAGCTTACCGCAACAACGAATATGTGTCTATTCGAATAACCTGTACCACAGCGTGGAGAACACATATACGTATATTCGAAGGAGTAATAAGAATGGAGACACGTTGTCCCTTCGTCTGCCGCAAAACGCTGTCCCCCCCAGCCATGAAGTTGGTGCGAGCAAAGTGAGCTAGTGTACGCCTTTGCCCACGGGACTCATTCAAGGTCTTTCTCACCAATCTAATCGATAGTGTCACCTAGGAAAGATAGCTTACCTTCCACTCCCGGCGCTATATCTTTACTTATTTTTTTGTTTCAACAAATGAAAGACGGGACAGAACCTATAAGCAGCGGATAATTCCTGAAGGCGGGCAAATTGGCATCGTGTATAAGCAAGGCACACACGTTCCAAAGAAAATGAAACAGAGTTATGTGATTGCCATAAAAAACATAAACATCTACCCTCTCTACTCCGTTTCAACCTTCAGCGGAGCTGGCCCTGAACGATACTTTAGCTCGCGCACTTTCCTAACTAAAAACAGATTTATGATGCGTCATCTCATTACATTTATGTTTATTCCCACTGTACGGGAAAAGAAGAAAAGGTACTGCAGATATGGCCGGACCCATATCTACTACCCCCACCCCTGGGTTGAACCGTTACCCTTCTGTAATCGAAGGTGACACAACCGCACGGTGTACGTCCGGGGGCGAGTGTTAACCGTTAGGCCACTCGCCCATGTGTGTTTTTCGCTCTGAGTCGTATTTGAATGCCAAGTGCCAAGGATAAGTGGTAAGATGACTAGCCCGGATAGGCGCGCTAATCGGTACACTAAGAGAATAGAGTTTCACTTTCCGACGGTGGTAACTTAGGCAAAACTGAACCAAAGCGAGCTGAACAGAATTAAAATTACCAAGAATTAATATGACTGAAGAAGTACTGATTTAAACTGGACAACTGGTTTGTGGTCTTGGAGGGAACTCTACACCAAAGGCGCACAGGGTTGAACTGATACCGGGTATGGCGTCTTGGTTGGTTTTATGCATTTGTTCTGTTCTATCTACGTAGAAAACAGTTTTCCGTCAACTTCAGGGCTGAACTGGCTGAATGAAGTACTGAGAAGCGAGAATTGTGTTCGATTATTTTGCTAAAGGGTTCTAGAGAACCGACTTCAACTGGCAACGCTACGAATTGTTGGAAACACTGCGTGACAAGAGTCTTCTGTGTTGCTTTCTATGATCTATAATTTAGTGGATCACCTACGGGTCTTATTGACTTTTTAAGGGCTTATCAGTTCACTTGCCACTACATGTACCTCTCTAGAACATGCTAGCATGATACTAGGATGCGAGATACACATCTTTTAAAAGATGTCAAAGGTTCCCATTAAGATAATAGCTCCGGGTGGATGGTCGAGGCACTACCGTGTTCGTTGCTGCCAACCAAAATCAGGAAAGACGACGACCTTGCCACCGTTCACAACATTTTCGTACTTTTTGAGAAAAGAACATAATTTAAGAGGAGTTGCAGTCCAATTATACGTTTTTCTTAGCGCCTTATATAACACTATTCCTAGTCCCGTCATCGGGTGGCAAAGAGCGCGTTGCCTCCCTGTAGCATTATGCACCTCCACGTCACCCACCGGAGAAGACGCATATTTGTTGACCAGACCAAGGGTAGACCCTCATGCTCAATATAACAGGGTAAGCCCTAAACTAGTGGTGAAATTCACATTTCTTCTTTTTCCCCTTAATATCCACTCGGTAGTGAACGAATGGCTCTCGCAACGGACTACCTGCTCCACTTCCTCCGTGGAAGCGAAACCTTTTCTTCACTTTTCTTGTTGATAAATCCCATTTCTAACAGATAAGAAAAACACCACACAGTGCGCGAGAAGTAAAACTTATATCCTAGTAGCCAGGCGGACTCGAGGTGGGAAAGTGCGAAGCCATTAATTGGCCATGAACGGAGGAGGCGCATGGTAGATCACTGGAAGCGTGAAATCACCCGGTTAGAAGGTTCTTCGACCACTGGGGGGATTCATGGTACGAGGAAACAGTGGATACCTATAGGGGTCCTTCAAAAGATCGAAAGAGCCGCTGATGGATGAGCGGTGACGGTAGAGGTTGCAGTTATTTTTCGCAAACACGGCCAGGCGAAGACTGGGTACTGCGTAGCTAAGTTGAAACTTTGGAAAGAGGAAAAAACTCGCCGGGGGCACCAGTTAACCCTCCAGCTGTTGTATAACGTCCATTGGCTAGTGCAGGGTTAGGGTTGTGTCGATTACTGCGATGTGAACGCAGTCCTTATATATCGACCACCTGTTCGTACCGGAACTTTTAGACAACTCCCAGCTCCGAACAGGCGGTTAGAGACGGCGGGGTGAGAACCTCGTCTCACTAGGCGGAACAGGTATAAGTTGGCATAGATGGGTCTCAGAGGACATTGTACTTGGTTTATGAAATAATATATTAGTCCGTGAGTTCGAAGAAAGAACTAAACGGGAGATTCATTAACCGCACCCAGTACAAATATTTCTGCCCGCCTTGACGGGAAGTAAGTTCGTTAATTGTCTTCCGCCTGGTTCTTTCGTAGATCCATTCATGAAGTACGGCCTGCCGGAGATGTTGCTTCGGTTAGGGCGCGCATGACCTGTTGGCGGAGGTGATGGCATGCAGTCGTTCAACATCTCCTTAGATTTAGACTTTCTATCGCATTAGTTAAATCCAAGAATGTTCGCATGAGATACTCTGTGTGTTGGGGGGGTTGAGACAAACGTCTATAAGATTAGGCCTCTTTTGTGTTAAAGGGCCTTCACTAAGGCGATGCTTTGATAGTTGTTGCTCGCTGGTCGTGGAGCACCAGGATACCTCGATATAGGCACTATGAGCGGCCACGTTATCGGAGACCGGCGGAATAACGGTACTTGAAAGGTGGTAACGGAGTGGTAAAGGTAGAAGACGGACGATTATTACCCTGTTGGAACTAGAGCAGCTAACAAAGTTCTCCGCACGCCTCAAATAGGTCTCCCCCGCGAGGGCACAAGTATATGAAGGTTGAAAAGATGGGTATCCAGGTATCTCGCTCGGCCTTGATGTAGGCACTCCTTTCTTCCTAGTCACGCGCTCAATCTTGCACCTGATGATGAGGAGGTGTAACTGCGCCGGGCTTTCCGGCGGTTCTGTAGCGGCGGCAGATAATAGCGTCAGTGACATATCGAGGTATCACCGGGCTCCAACGGTGTTAACGAAAGGAGTCGTATGCGATTGAAGTATGCGGATAAAATGAGAACTTAGGCATTCCCGGAGGGTGAGGATGGTGATCCTCGGTCGGGGCTGAGCTAAGTAGCGGACGAACACAAGATTTCCGGCTGTAGCACCTGCCGGTGTGCAGTTGAATCGGAGTTCTTTCTCGTCGGCTAGGTTAATCGACTATTGCTGAAGTTCAAGCATAATTTTGGAGCAGGATGTTCTTTGACCTGTATATGCGGCCTACTGTGGAGGATTTCTAGAGCTCTCGGGCCTTGTTTCGTTGATCGCCGGATTTCTTTACGGTTTTCTTTTGGGCGGAAGGGATGGGCCGAAAGAGGGACGTGGGCACAATTTATGTCGATTTTCTGTTTTGTGGCCCTCAGAATCTCATAACAGCGTGTTCGCAGGAGGTCCTGCCACAATCTACTGCTTCCTGGACGTGATTTCTCCTACCTGGCACCGTGGCCAGCCTTAGGTTTTGTGCAGCAATCCACGTGACGCCCGAACAGGTTAGGCTTAGGAACAAGTTCTCTCTTCCCACTTTTGGCCAGTGTGCAATCAATCCTTCATGTCCCAATGCGGAAAGTGAGTCACACCTAACTAATATGCCCTAGCCCTATTACCCCTCCACTGAACCACCAATCCATTCAAAGGTGGTACTTCCCATAAGTACCCTCTCCTCTTCTCGTCCAGCCACTCCACCTTTCTTCTCACAAATACCTTCTACAACGTGCTCCCAGCCAGTTCAAAATCTTGGAGTTTCCTCAGCTTGAGTGAAACCCGATGCTGTGGAACTGGTTGTTCTGCAGGCTCTTCTTCTTTTTTTCTTTTTTTTTTGTCGTTCAGAAAGGTAAGTGAATTTTTTTTTCCCCCTTCTTTTTTTTGTGCGCGTTCACTAGTAGTTTACCAACAGATTCATCGAGAACAACACAAAAGCACATCACAGAGCAATAGGTAAGTATTTTTTCTCCATCCTCTCCATCCCACCATAAATAATCCTTTTTTATTCTTGCACTAAAGTATACAAGATCCAGACTGCACTAAGAATTCACAAAGTGAAATCTCCCCTCTCCCCTTCCATACACATCCTCCCTTCACATCCGTTGACAGACAGAGTCAACAGCAGCGTGCACCCGTCCAGTTCTCTTCCTCCATCACTTCATCTCAAAGTTATGGAAGAGGAAAACTGGATGGGTTGTAGGCCGGCTGTCTGCTCTGTAGGAAATATAACTCAAAATGTAAGTCGCACACACACACACTCCACTCCATGCATCTCAACACACTACTAACCCACACTTCCAGTCCTTCCGCCATCTGGAAACATGCAACCGTATTGTAGCTCTAAGGCCTTAGCGATAGGTATAGGAGCTACTGAGAAATCAGGCTACAACATGGCTGTAGGTTGTCCTCACCACTCTACCTTTCACCGGGATTCGGGCATGAAAGAAAGGTTAGTTCTACACATATACATCATTACATGGCAATTACTAATAGCTGTTGTTTGTCTTAGCGCAATGAGAACGTGCCAGGAAACGTGCTCTTGTGCTGTCCATGTCTCTCCTATTGCTATGTCTAGGCTTACTACCTGGCGCCTTGGAAGCTTGGACAGCATGGGTAGTAGGTTATCCTCATGTCTCAGCTGCTACCCCTCTCAGCTTGTCACTTACAAAGGTATATTAGTTCGATCGTTTTATTACTTTATTATTTATATAGATTTACTAATCTTGATACTTTGGTTTAGCGGTATTGCATGAGGAAACGTGCTCTTGTGCTGTGGTAGGTGTATGATGGCATGATCACGACCTGCCGCTATGCAACTGCTAACAGCACGGGTAGTAGGTTGTCCCCATACATTTGTGACTATCCCTCTCAGCTGATCACATTTGAAGGTAAGTCGCCCTAGAGCTTATATATATTATCATTTTTCCAATGCTAATTTCAATGAATAGGTGCATATTACTGGAAACGTGCTTCTGTGCTGTCCTAGACTACTGGCCACCGTGGATTCATACTACGAGGTCTGTGAGCCTTGGACAGCATAGGCAGTAGGTAGTCCTAGCACGTCAAGTCAGCGGGGTTCTTTATCTTGCATACAAGGTTAGTCACCCTATATTTCTTAGTAGTGTTCACTTGCTAATTCATGGCTCGGATATGCTAGGAGGAGACGTGCTCCCACGTTGTTTCCAGTTCAAGGGTGTAATACTGCGCTGCACAGAACTGTGAACAACATGAGATGTAGGTTATCCTGGTACACCTCTCATTCGACTATCGTGGGCTCAAGGGTTAGTTATTCCTTGTTCTGCGCACTGCTCGTCTAGTAATGTGTTGTGTAGGTGTCCTAGGTAACGTGCTCCTGTTTTGTTCCAACTACAACAATGCTGCAGCTACAGTAGAGTTGATTATGCGGAACAAAATGGGTAGTAGGTTGTCCTAGTGCATCTATCTATCATTGCCCGTCTTATAAGTTCAAAGGTTAGTAACTTAGATTCCTCACACATATTCATCTGCTAATCTGTTATTCAGATGTGCTATATATATAGGAGGAAACGTGCTCCCATATTGTAGCGGCTCGTTGAATGAGTTCTTCGTGCTCCTTTGACTTCACCCCCTACAACTTGGGTAGTAGGTTGTCTTAATGTATCTATCTACATATGTTCGTCTTACATCCTCGAAGGTTAGTGACTCAACCCTTAACACTGTCATCTGCTGATTTGTAATTTAGGTGTACGAGGAGGCTGCTCCTATATTGTCGTCTACGTACAACATCGGGTTTTGCGCTGCGATGGTGTTCGTGGGCGACAACATTGGATGTAGGTTGTCCCAGTTCATCTACTCCTGTTAATCTTACATCCTCGAAGGTTAGTGACTCTCAATTCCTAACACTTTCATCTGCTAGTTTGTAGTTTAGGTGTACGAGGAGGCGTGCTCCTATATTGTCGCCTGCGTACAGCGTCAGGTTTTGCGCTGCGATGGTGCTCGTGGACGACAATATTGGATGTAGGTTGTCTTTGTGCACTTGCTTATGCGTGTTTATCAACAATATATCCTAGAAGGTTAGTGTCGTGAAATTGTATTTATACTCTGATCTTGGTTAGCAGATGTATATTTCCTTTTGGCAGGAAGATCTGTTCTGTGACGACATGGGTAGTCCTTGTACAATTACGGGATACGTTCTCCACTGTTGTCCCCCGTCTCCTTTTCAGCCACTGCTTTGCAGTAGTAGCTTGAGAGGACCTGGAGACAACACCGGCAGTAGGTTGTCCTTGGGTGTGTGCTCTGTCAATTGGCTGTTCTTCAGCGTTAGTCATTCCAAATCTCCTTCATTATGACCGCGACTTTCATCCACTAATTGTAAATTTAATAACTTAGATTAGAAACGTACTCCAATCTTGTGGGTCTTGTCTTCCGTGATGCTAGCACGCCGCTGGTGTTTCAAAGTCTAGAGACACAAGACTGGTAGTAGGTTATCCTTGTGCCTACCCTATACCTCTCAAGGTCACTTGTTCCCAGATCCTGTTATTTCTTTGCTACTGAGTTGATATTTATTTACATCAAGCTCATGCGTCCCATGGAGACTTTGACAACGCAGATGAGAAGTGTGCTCCTTTCTTGTCTTCACTGTTGTATTTTGCTACACTCGAGAGAGAGATGGCGAGTACTATATGGAGACAAGAAAGGTGGCAGACTGTTTCTCCTGCCTTCTACTTCTTGGAATTGTTCTGGCGTCAAGGCTTGGGAACGTGCTCCTGTTTTGTCAGCCTTTCTTCAATTCTCCGTTTCTAGAGGCGGGAGTCAAGACGAGATGACAAAATAGGTAGTAGGCTTCCCCAAGTTTACAATTTCGTTTTTTGACTTCGATATCCATGCACAGATCGTCCCTCAGTCATTAATTACCGAGAACTAGAAGCGTACTCTCGTCTTGTCCGGAAGTGATAGGGCGTTGGAATCTGCCTTTCCCTAACACCCAGGACAAGATGGGAAGTAGGTTGTCCTCGATGTTTATTCTGTTTCTTCATATATCCGTCACCCCTAATGTATGAAATCAATCGACGGAAACGTACTCCCGTTTTATTCAGAGGAAGGGAGAGGAAGAAACTTATCCTCTCCTAAACCCTGAACAAGATAGGCAGTAGGTTGTCCTTGTGATAAATACCTCTGTATGTAAATAAACTGTGATTCTAGTGCATTTTCTCTCTGCGCAGTGTATCTTTCTAGGTTGACAGACATCTCCTTGGATGTACTGGAACAGACCACCGATATGTTCTGAAGTTTCCTTACACTTATGAAAATGTTTGGCCATCTTGGAGAACAGAATGAGACAAGCTCAAGTACATTAATTCCAGAGATATACAGGATGCAGAAGTACGTACTGCTTCAACATAAAACACCAACAACTAAAAAGTGTTTCAAAAAAAACACCCGGCCAGTGTTTTTTCCTTATGTATTCCGTTTCGATCATTCATTGTTTATGGCAGAGGCAATTGCAAATAAACTCTAAGTTCTAGAACTTGATATTTCCAATTCATTATCTATCGATTTGTCCTCCCTTCGCGGTGTCTTTTACTCCCACGTCATGTTCTTCTTAATCCGTCGCGACCTCGTCCAAAGATAAATTAGTCAATATCCCTGTGAACAGACCCGGCTCCCCCGCCACCCCACGATGGGTGGGTACATAATATAGGCAACGAGACTAGTTTTGTTGTGGTTCTGCTTGTTCTTTGCGATAAAGGAAAAAAAAAAACAATTGGTACTACAAAATAACAAAAGGTACTGCAACGACTTATTCCTCATTGTGCGTTACTACCCCCACCCCTGGTTTGAACCCAGGACCTTATCCTGGGTAAACACGCGGTGTCTAGCCCGGCGAGCAGTCTATCCACTAGACCACCCGCCAATAGTGGATGCTGCGCCGGGAGTGATACTTAAGCTTGGCACACTGCCAAGATGAAGCCGAACCCCTAACCCTTCGATGTCAATGATCAGCCATCCATCCATACACTTGTTTTGGATCATAGCGAAATGTGCCATTTTGGATCATGTGTTATTGTAGAGCTAGAGCACGTCTACCGCCAAATGTGTCATTTTAGACCTTTGCCGTTTATTACATCGATACGTGACTGCGAGCCTTCACATTCAACACAATTCATTTTTAACTCAGGGGAACATGTTTTCATCATCTCAATTTTCAATAAGCTCCCTAAAATAACAGAACATACGAAAACCTGACCAGATCCATCGTCAAGCCTCCCACGACAAAGAAACCCACTAACAAGAACGACAAATCAGAGCCAGAACTATTCCACCTCGGAGTCTGCTGACCCTTCAAAACCGCCAACACCTCCACTTCTCAACGACAAGTTCCGGTGTCTGACTTGCACGGGAATGGCGCGTAGCATGTTCGGTCATCGCAGCAGTCCTCGGAGGTTTTACAATCGTCGCCGCGGCGCGCACAGTGCTTGCCGAATGGTGTTTCATCGTTGTTGAGGCTCGGCGAAGTGGGAGTGGAGATATCGTCTGTGTCGATGATCACAACTCCGATGGAGGGTGCAGCCGAAACGCCGACGGTCAGGCTGACGATCGCGACTGAAAGGAGGACGAGCAGCTTCATGGTTTTGGAATGCTTAGGTTTTGAAAGGAAGGATTGTGTGTCTGTGCTTTGGAAAATAAGAACAGTAGACGGTGAAGGGCAACTGGATGTTTATAAAGTGCCGGGAGAAGGATGATAGCTTCCCTCTCCCTCTCTGTACACCCATGGTATGTATGCACTACATGTCACTTAATAATCCCGGCGGGAAATTTAAAACTGAGGTATGCCCTAATATCTCCTCTATAACTAGATGCGATATCTAATACACAGGATAAATTCTTCCCCCTCCGTTCAGTTTTTCATCAGCCGGCCATCTATTGCCGTATACCCCTGAATAATTCTTGCCCACCATCGAAATACCTCAAGATCTGAAGAGCGATTGCCTTCCAGTCCGCCTTTGAAGGGTTCTCAGGCTGAAACCTATCTCAGTCCGGCGGTCTCTCTCATGCAGAGAGTGCAATGCAACATAGTTTACACAGGAAACCCAGGTACTCCCAACAATCATACTTATGTATATCTTTATGTTCTGTGATACCTTTGCTCCTGTGTCCTACCTGATCGATACAATCATGCGGCTTGCCGTTGATCTGACCCTTTCATCCCTTGTCTTAGGTACCAATAGCGGCGAAGCTACAAATATTGGTAGTGCTCAACGTCACTCCCGCAATTGCCAAAATATAGCGGGACTTTACCTCCGAAAGCCTTCTTCGTGATGTCTGGCTCTATACTTCGATGCGTCCCTTCATTCGGAGAGATTGCGCAAAAGTGCGACTGTTTTACTTACTAGGTTCTGGGCGGGAGGTTAATATCTGATCTTCTGGAGCAGTTTCGGGAGTATTCCAGTCTATTTGCGCATGATTTGTGAAGCTATTTCAAGACTTAGGTGGCTTCATCGCCTCGCAAAGCATTTCGTTTTGTTCCGGTGACTAGATTCCCGTCACTATGGATTCTACTATGTATAGTATTGAGTATAGTATTGAATCCTCGGATAAAGTTCCTAAAACAACTAGGATATTCTTTTTGACTTCTAAATTGCTTTTTGTTTTTTCGGTATGTTTTTTCTTCCCGAGCAAAACCTTCTGAGCAATGGGGAGCTATCCATGTCTGGATAACAATTTTCGGGAGTGCTCAAGATATCCGAGCACTCAAGGTACTCGAGAGATATGAACACCCCTCACATACGGCATGAAATCACACCTAATTGTTTCAGCCTGCACACCCACCCTGGTGGTCATCTCTTACCATAATTCGACTCTATTCATTCTGTATGACGCTGAGAAGGTTGATGTAACTTCCCCTTCTTTTGTGCCACTTATCCCGGAGGTCTGGTACCTTCAATCCAGGGCCCACTAGGGGTGTTGAACTACAGGAGGTGTTTTACTGAACTCAATTCGAATCTAGCATATAGGGTATTTCCCGCACAATATGCTCAAGGGGAGCTCATCTGATTTAAGCAAATCTGGAGCTTATATACACATGCCATAGCCATTCGGCGCTTTTTCGGGGGTGTGCTGACTAGTTCAAAGTCTCATCAAGATCACTTAGTGTTCTTTCTATAATCTCTGAGGCTCGATCATGATTGAGAATCCTTTGAAGCCGATAGAACGTATATGAATAAAGGAACACAGGTCAGCACAATGAAACCTTCACCCCTTGGGGTTACGTGAGCATAAGGTTTGGGACATCCGTTGAAACATAGATAGTAAAACTGTGACTCGGCCCCGATTTAAGGTTATATTAGTGCCTAGGCAGGATAACTATACACAGATTCCGCATATTAAAAAGTATTTTCCTCATAAATCCTTTTTCCGACAGATTTCTGGTTAATATACTCTCTACTTAGCAACACTATTTCTCTCCGATCCCTGAAATTAGATTGCGAAAATAACTAAGCCTTTTCTTTTATGTAGGAGGTGTACGTATCATCATAAAATTTATTTGACACATAAGACTTCTCCTCGGGTGACCGCATTGAGGTATGTAGGTAGACAGCCGACAATATCTTGTTCTACCTCAAAAAAGAGAGACCACCGTATCCACCTTGTTCGGTAGATACGAGAACGAGTATCATCCTAGACCGCTGTCGAGGCTATTAGCTGAGTAATGAGGGAAAGGAATGAACAGACTTACGCATCGCACCGCTTGCGTGAGTGACACCACACGAGAGCGATTAATTCCTTTCCGCCAACATCGTCATCCCTTTCAGGAGGATATCGATCCTTAAACCCCCATTTTCAGTATCACCCCCTGTTTGAGCAACTAAGGGGATATGTTCACCCTCTCGGTGGTCCTACTGAAGATCCTCAGGTGGAAGAAAATCCGGGGGTGTCTTTCTCGAGTTACCCTCACACGATGGCTAAGGCTTAATCCCTCGTCCGAGAGCTTCGGATATACTTCCGCACTGACCATATTATTGAACCTTCTAATAGTAGAGCTCGATTGATCAATAGTCATGATCCCTGGATCGAAGATTAGCCTAGCCCTGCATATCGAACAAATCAGATCAATCTTACTTACCTTTCCCTCCCCATTTCCGTTCAAATAGTCCCCAACAACCCGCCCCTCCCTGCAGTATAAGACTGCTCCCCTCCACCACTCCAATCAACTAACAACTCCTTCCAAACCCCTCGACCTCTCAAAACCCCTCTTCAACCACTACTCTGCAAAATGCAATTCTCTGCTCTTCTTCTCCTCCTCTTCACCGGCCTTGTTGCCGCGAGCCTCGAGATCACCATGGCCATCGATGGTGAAGTCTACAATTTGAGAAGCCCGCTTGAATCCGAGGCACGCTGCGGAAAGCGTGGGGACCCGTGTATGAGCAACAAGACGTGTTGTAAGGGCCGGATGTGCTTGGCTCCTCTTCCTTGTGGGTCGACCGAGGCTGGAAAGTGTCTTTAAGTGTGGTATGTAGGCTTTGAAATGGTAGCTGTAGTCCACGGCATGTGTGTTTTTGTTATACTGATAAGATTAATTAGTGGTTGATAGGTGCGGAGGTGGACTGAGGAAGGAGGGAGGGGGGGGGGGGGGGGGGTACCTACTGCCTGTAGTTCTTTTATTGTGTCAGTGTAGTGTTTACCGGAATTTAGGAAAATAACATCTCGCATCTTGGTGTGGCATAGCTTTTTGTGATACCGTGATAGGTCTGATCGGTTGGAGAAGAATGATGAAAATCTTTGTGTAACGCATCGATGATCCATCTTTTCATATACCGGGAACAAATGTGATTCCTCCCGGAAGGGCGACTAGGCTTTCATTTTCCCCATCGCATGAGGGCATTAGCACTTTAAAGGCCAGGTCTTTTTTGATGAGCAGCTATTATCAAATAAGTCAGTCGATGAGCAAATTCTCACAGATAAACAAATTTGAAATGTAAAACAAAACCATAACAATTAAGCCCACGAAAAGAAGCCTTCGGGAATACAAGGCGCTTCCCACAACTTGTGAAGTCAGAGGGCTGAAAATGGTCGAAAAGACCAGAGGTACAAACTCGGACACCGAAGGAAATTTGTGCGCTGCGCCGGGAGAGAAGGATATGTGTAGCGAGATCGATGATGGAGGATGACGGTAGGTTAACTAACAGGATGAGAACAGATTTCGACTCTGTAGCATGAATCTCTCCGAAAAAGACAAGTAACGTCGGTGGTGGGGGCAGTCGACGTTACGTGCAGGGATTGTTAGTGCTCTTGGCGCCGTCGCGTCAGGTTGTATCACCCACTCATGAGATCTCACTCGATATTGGCGCCCAGCCAGAACACCTCACGTCAGGCGATACGGCCAGCTGCACAATTCCTTCACCTCGATCACCGCTGGAATAAAATTTTCAAGAAAACATCTATCTGATATTACCGGTGCTTAACTTACTGTCTGGTTCGAGTGAGTCACACTGCGCATCCGCGGTCAAGTCAATACGGTGGAATAGTGATGTAAGGCAGGAAGGTGCTTCAGCTGAGCTCTTCAATTAATGCGATAGAGAGCAGGCGTCGGGTGGGATCGGTCCGGAACTGCCTCTGTTAGAATGTCTAGTTATGGCATATCTCTAGGATGGAGGACGTTCGCCGTCGGCCGGACGTGATCACATCGTCGGGGTTAGGGTTCGGCAAACGACACAATCTCCCATCCGTGACTCTTAGTCAGGCTAGGCACTGAAGGTAAGAGAATCTGCGTATATTCAAGACGACCATTTTCTTTCTAATGTTGGGATATATATGTGTTGTCGTGAGGTCTTTTCGGGGGTGGCTTTTCGCGCTCCACCACCGCCCCCGAAGACGAGAACATTGCTTTAAGTATTGATTTCAGCCTACGTTTCTTTTGTAAGGTGGCTACAAAGATTAAATTTATCTTCAACCTCGTTGCCTAGATTTTAAGTTTCTATTCGCATCAACTCGATATCCGGGGATGTGCAGATATTTCGGTATTCTGACTATATTATAGTCTCGTCATTGGAATGAGAGGGCATTCTGTATAGGATAGCTGGATGTCGGGTACGTTCTCCTTACCTCACGCAGCGTAGACACCATGGGAGGTGCATCCTTCCTAGTCCGAAAACCATATCCAAAAAAAAAGAAGAAAAAAAAAAGAAAGAAAGAAAAGAAGAAAAAAAGAGAGATACGCGCGGACATTACTAGATAGATTTCATAAAAAAGAATTCTAGAGCAAAAGGTAGCATTGATGGTCCAGCCATATCTACTACCCCCACCCCTGGATTGAACCCTGGACCTTCTGTAATCGAAGGCAAGGCACAACCTCACGGTGTCGTCCGGGGGGCGAGTTAACCGTTAAGCCACTCGCCCATGTGTGTTCTTTGCCCTGAGTTCTATTTGAATGCCAAGATTACAGGCGCTAACGTTTATGACTAGCTCGATTTAGGTTAGTGTTCTTGTCACTACACGTAGCTGGTTTTGCGGGTTTGGTGGAAATTTGGCGATTTATTTCTCTTTCGAGTTCTCAGATTATGAAATTGGCTATAGAAAGTCTGTAGTTTGATAATTTTTCCCGGTTTCATTTTGTCTCCCCTGTAGTTTAACGGCCTTACACATAAACGTCGATTTTAGTTTATCTGCGTAGGGTCGCAAAGCACGATAACGTGCAAATTTAAGGTAATAGTAAGTCAATTCCTCTAGCAAACAAAATGATCGCGGCTGTCCAACCCTCCACAAAGCACGGTAACCGCGGATACTGTAAACAGGAAGTAATAATAAGTAAACTCCACTACCGCACGAGATGATCACCGCCATCGAACTTTCCACAGTGGCCTTCATCTCTGACAACACCGCACCCCAGGCATCTGCACCCATCCTACCTCCTTGGAGCCTCCAAACCCACCCTCCTCCCCGCCCCCACCAAGAAAACCATATTCGCCAACGCACTCCCCACCAACAGATCCCCCTCGACCCTCCTCCCCCCTGGCCCCCTCACCTCCCCCTCCCTCCTCCCCACCAACATGCCCGGCACCCACTCCGGCCACACATTCCTCACCAGAACCTTATTCCTCACCACCGTATAGTTATGCGGCTCGGGGATGAGCCTTAGGCTGATGAGTCTACTCTCGTACTCGAGATACCTGTCTTTATAGAGCATCCACGCGTCGAGCATGGGCTGGTAGACGGCGTGCGTGTTGTATGGGGCGCGCTTGAGAGCGTAGTCGAGGCAGAGGAGTGCGTCGTGGAGGCGCTCGTAGTTGGGGCGCGTGGCGTGGGTGGTGAGGGCAAGGTTTAGGTTTCTGAGGTGGTGGGCGTCGCGGGGGGTGAGGCCGGGGGTCGGGAGGACGACGAGCTGAAACGGTAGCGCGGTAATGGATGGAGTGCCAGAAGCAGATGGGGAGTCGAGAAGGATTGGATCCCCGCGAGTGCCAGAGGGAGTACAGATCTCCATCTCAGACGTATGACGAATACCCGAGTCTTCAGGACCGGTAGACAGGTCAGGAGCCTTTTGCCTATCAGTGGCCACTCCTGGGACCACGGGATTGAGAATCCGTGTGATCGCGGTGTTGCGTCTTCTGCTTGCGGCAGTCGTGTTGGGGCCGGCGGGAGCCAAGGCGACGGAGATGGGAGGGAGGCGGGTTTGGGTGGGGTTCGTATATACCCCGGGAATGTATGGGGTGGACATGATCTCTTAAGGGTGTTCAGTAAAGGCGAGATAAAGACGGATGGGGGTGATTGTTGCCTGTATCTAGTGGTTTTAGACGTGGCGGTGGGTGATGGAGGTTGTTGCAGGTGGCGTAGTGGTAAGAGGTGGGAAAGACACTGCATTGGTGACCGCCAAGTCGGAGAGGGGGCTCAACCCACAAGAGACACCGCCAGAAGCATCATGACCTTTTAGGACACGAAGCCAAAGTTTCCAACTTTACTCGTAAATACACACTGCCACAATTGAGGTAGAAGGCACATAATGACTACGATTCCGCGCATGCCCAATTCGATACTTGATTGAACTCCAGTCCTCAGCCAGCGATAGGTGCTCTGTGCAACGTCATTCACCAGCACCGTGCCGTTAATATTGTGACATGAAGAAAGAGAAGTAAATGGGAGATATATGCGTGGAAGTTATAGCTTCTAGATTCTTCCTCCTGTACTCCTTTCTGGATAACCCGTAACCTGCTGGATCGAGGGGCGCGACGTATCATAACTAGGTGTTCCCAGCTGTAAGCAAGATATTCTCCACCGTTTCGTTGAGTCTTGTTAAAACCACTGCTGTGCTTGCTGTAATTTAGGAAGACGCTGCTGTTCCCTTAGATACAAATGAGATATCGAAGCGTCTTCATTGAGTAAAGAAAAAAAATAAAAGAGATGAATATATGAGGGACAAAAGACTTATGTGATGAGTATCATCCCTCAAGAGCGTCGCTACCATGTTGGGCATTCTCATCACTGCTTCCACCCCGGGTTGAACCGGCGATGTCATGCAACGTAGTAAAGGCTATTACCCCTCGACCACGCTACGATGCTGTGAATGTTGCTCGGGTGGTATATAACCGGCTGGGTAGCTCGTCTGCTTAATAATCAGCTAAAGAAGAAACACTGTGTTCTTATTCGTACCCTGCGCGCTACATTATTCTAACGCGACTAGAACCGACAAACTAAGCCCACTTTCACCAAACGAAAACACAGCCTACACAAAAGAAAACACAAGATCAACAGAAAACCAATCGATTCTCTATCTACTCCATGGTCCACTGGTTCCGACCACGTAACAAGGAAACCAGCAACCGCAGATACTAATTACATACCAGCAGTAAACACCCGGTACGCCTCCCAGGCGGACGCGCCGGACCCACAGGCCCTAAAGCCTGATAACTACCTACAATACTCCTGGTACCTACGCTACCACAAAAGACAGAAGAAGAGGCAGGAATGCCTTGCCTACACAACCAGGAAAGAAAGCTCGGAAAAGACTATGCATACCAGCACTTAAACGCACCGGATGCCTTTTGAACAGGCATACGAGGTGTACAGCGCTGAAACCACCAAGAATTCCGAAAAGATAAGGAAGAAAATGGTAACAAAGAACAAAGTTAACGCTACTATTGTCTCCCCCAACTCCGCTACCACATGACCTTAGTGTTTCCTCTTAAAGAACTTTCCCGTGCGGTGGTGGCGTACGGCGCGTTTGATGAGGCGGACGAGGCGGGTATCGTCAGAGTGGCAGTATTCATCGAGATGCGTACGGAAGGGAAAGCACCACATTTCTGCTCTGTGGGGGATTGTTAGTTGCGGACTTTCACATGGTGTAGGGGATGCGGAAACTTACGTGGCTTTGATTTATCGTGAGCTACCAACAGGTGGGGGGGAGAGAGTGTTGCGGGGGAGTGGTATTTTACTACATGAAGAGGAAAGATTAGAACGAGGAGAATATTGATTATAGGAGAGGCCTAGACTTACAATGCTTATCACTGCCGTAATATCTTCAGCAGAAGAAAACACCACTGGTGGTGAACGTCAATCGACGTTATTCTAGGAATATCAAGCGAGGTATGGACAGGATCGATAGCCGCGTCGATCTAGGTGTCTGTTAGATCACGAAAGATAGCAGGTTTCTAAAGCGGCTCACTAACAATTGGCTATAGATCACTGGATAGAGAACGAAGGGAAATGGTGGAAATTTATCTCCACCCACTGGTGAAGCAGTACCCCGAATTGGAGGAGTATCTGATGATACTCCGATTGGAATTGGGCCTTGAAGAGGAGTTAGTGAACGATGGAGGATCGAGGAGAATGAATACTTACTGCTAACCTGTGATAGCCGGGACCTACTGTAGAACCTGCACCACCACTATTCCAGTGGTAAACCGTAAACGACAATCGAAGGTACTTGTCCCAGTATCTGACGATACTGGGAGATCCCACCTATGAATAAGATGAGAAAAGCGCCAAAGCTTCAAAGGACGAATGTTGAGGTACAGAGGAGTAACTTACTGATGATATTGATGCTGCAGACTCTTACCTACCCCGAGAGATAGAAAGAGAATAAATTGGTGAGGCTGGACCTAAGTTCGCCGGCTAGGTCTGATGAGAAAATTAGAAATCAGTAACAAAGGAGGGAGAACGGGTCTAGAGCTTACAGTGGCTTTAACCTGAGGGCAATTCGATGCCCGGTTGAGAGAACGTCTGAGATACAGCAAGACCAAAAACAAACTTGATCCTGCACAATCGACCAACAAAGCGTACCCTACAGAAGCGGAAGATCAGAAGCGCACAGAAAGCCATAATCGAAGAGTTAGAAAACTTACACTCAGCAGGGCTTGCAGTCCCTCTACAAGTTTTCAACGAATGTTCAAAAAACGTTTGAAATTCCAAACCAAGTCCCTTATTTCTAAAACAGCACAAAATCAGCAAATAATAAAATCAAGAACAAAGCCACAAACGAGAACTTACATCAAGTCTCGTAGAAGAAGCCAGGACGTTGAAGAATGGTCTCAGATAGATAAGACCATTCACAGCCACTGTCGACCTTGTGTAGTCCACGGGCTATACCAGCAGAATATTAGAATCGAGGCAATAGCAAACGATGATATTAGAATTGCAGAGTTACACCAACTCGCTCACAGTAGTATGTCACTGGGGGATGAGCGAAGACGACCCGACAAGATCGACGCCCGAGAGCGTCGTCTCAATACTGCAGGATGGATACTGCAGCAAGAGCTTTATGAGATGGCTATGTGAAGGCGCCCGATAGGTGATAAAAGAGGTGATGAGGGAGGTGATAAAAATGGGGAAGAAAGTGCTGATATTAGGTCTTGGTGATAAATGTTCAAGAGAGAGAGAGCTGAGAGGATAAGAGATGTAATAGTGAGGAAGAAGAAGAGAAGGAGAGGGAGAGGCTATAGATATAGACATCTGGGCTAGGGTTTAGAGATTTAAGGTTTACTAGACACGCCTGCAGTTGGAAGAGGACACGGAAAGGAAAGCTGATTTGTGAGATGGCAGATGGCAGAGGACAGCATGGCGTGAGAGAGCACTGTGGGAAAATGTAACTGTGGTTTTTCATACTCGTTAATGTTTAAATCCGTCATCATATATCAATCGTTGTAGTGACGCGTCATAACTACTGAAGGCTACAAAGTATAAAATTTCAAAGGAAACATCAGCTACCGGCCGGAGGTGCATTGGTAGTGTGTAAAATCTTTTGTATTTTCAATTCTCCGTAGTTACCACGAACGCCCAGTTATCACAGCTCGTTTAACTCCCTCCATCAGAGCCATGGGTGGCCAGTCATCACCCGTGTGACGATATTCAAAGATGAAACCGCCAATTGGCATAGCGGCTTCCTCTGTGAAGTGTGCGGCACCTACACTCCCGAGCGGGGGAAATACAAAGACAATTAAAACATAAAAAATGCCCAATTACAAACATACAGAGATTTCACCGTGTACCGGGAGTGTGAGCATAATTCTCCGACGAGCAAACAGACGCCGCTAAAATCACCTAAGTTCCTTGATAGGCAAAAACGTCCACCGCACCGGCACAAACCGGCGATCCAGTATCTGCTGCCATTGACCTCGCAATGCGTATTTCGAAGCGGGCAAAGAACAGAAATACCAGTTGATCGTCTTACCCCGATAAAAAGGAGGGGTGGGCGTGGAATGAAAATATTCCCACATCTGTCCGCTCAAAGCGTGATGCGGGTTGGGTGACGTTGACATCCGCGGCCTTATCTGATGCATCTTATCGCCGTCCCATCTTATCACCACTTACAGATCCACATCTTATCTTATCTCGTCTCAATCCAACTTCCCGGGCGGTATGATTGGTGCATGGGCCTCAATGTCGGTGGGGGTTCAGCTGTGTGCTATGACAGCTAATGTAAACACCGCGAAATAAACGCTCCACGCAAATTCTCTCGTGTCTGCGGGTTTTCTGTCTTCACATGCGCGCATTACCACCCATACCACTAGCTGGGCTGGGTGCGTGAAGATACTCTCCGGTTGGGAATACTGGAACTGGGGACTTGTGACTTGCGGAGGAGGATTAATTAGGCGAGATGATGTTTGGGGATTAAGCGATTGGTGTGAAATGTAAAGTTTATTTGTTAGCCTTCGTATTTTGCTTCTCGCCTGAGAATTTAATTTGTTGATCGCGTCGGCTGTGGGCAGGGAATTATTACATGGGGTGGGTTAGGGTTGTGTGAGCCAATGCCGTGGTGGTGTCTTTGCACGATTTCACTCATCTTTGCACGACTCAATCTACAAATTGTGCGTAAGGCTTTTCGTCTCCGGCTGTGAATATTGTAGACCTTTCCGCCCACCAAGGCTGCAAAGCCACAGTTGCGCACCTTTGCGCAAGAACACACAGATCCCCACTCACAATTCAGGAGCCATGACTTCTCGAAGGAAACAGTCGGAACATAAAACGCTCATATTTCCGAGGTTCCTCCCTTCATCTCGGCCGCAGCCATTGCGCGTTTCGGCAAGAAACAGTGGCCGTGCTAAAGCAAGCAGGCAAGCAAGCAAGCACTCGGACCCTTCCCGCCCGTTGTTGACAGACATATATGTATTGCATGCCGACCCGACCGCCCCGACGCTCCCGGGGACGCACGCACACGCTCAGATCGAACACGGCCTCCGAGCGTCGCGCGATGTCATGATGCCTGCTAGCTGTATGCATGATCACGTCTAAATGCTCCTGCCTGCTCCTGCTCCTGCATCGGTAATTGCGGGGCGTTCTTCCAACGTCCGTCGGTCCTGTTCTAGAGTGTTTTTCCTCTGCAGCTAGCTAGATGCAGTGTCAGGGGTATGTAGATTTCCGCCCTACGCTGTTGGTGATGGGAGGGATCGTCAGAAGCAACAGGAAACAGGACTTCTCTGTGCTTTGCTTTTTTTTCCTTTCTGCTCTTGTGTGAGACTGCAGCTGTCCCAGTGGCCGGCGAATCAGCGCTCGCGGATCGTGTGCTTATCTTATCTTCAGCCCCACCGCATGCCTTATCGGGCGCGTGTTGCCGCGACGACCGACCACACCCCAGCCGGTCCGTCCATCCCCATGTTTATCTTTAGGAGAGTGGGGGGGAGGTATGCAGAAGAACTGTTGTTGGGTTGGAAAAGGCCCGGTCTAGATGGGCAATTAAGGTTGCGATAAACGCATTTCGACTACCCGGGTGTCGACGTCTAGAACGTCGGTCGCGGTGACGGTTATGCAGGCTTCGTCACAATGCACAATGGCATACCCCACAGGCACCGCGGTCAACGGTTGGAATGTCACGGGTTGGGAGGTCTGGACGGGCGAGGGTCGCCTCTTGGGGATGGTGGATGATGGATGGTGGAGGGATGATGGATGAGACAGCAACAGAGCGCGGGGCCTGTCACATTGTGGGACCTGCGTTGATTCAGAACAATCCGATTGTGGTCTTGTTGTTGACGGTGTTTCACCACACTACCTGGGGCGACGAGATGAAGAGTAAGCTACATGTACCTACGTGCTGAAGAGATAATATTTCTATTTATTTCAATTGGCGAGCCGAGGAATATGTAAGCTACATGTACCTACGTGCTGAAGACATAATATTTCTATTTATTTCAATTGGCGAGCCGAGGAATATGAAAACCACATTCCAATTATCTGCCTTGCACCATGCAATCTCCTCCGATTGGTCTCTCAGCCCGGGCGTCATCACTCTGCCTGCTTTGCACTGCAACGCTGCAACCGGTTGTTACGATCTAAGGCGTGCTCCAATATAAGATCGCCGCGTTATGGTTATCGCTATCGCACAACACCGGCACACACACACCACAACTCTCCTCGTTAGTGCAGTGTTTCTTTTTCCACCTCGACACCCCTGACGATCCTCCCCTCCAACCGTTCATCCGATCATTTCCACCACCACCCACCAGGCTTACACATTACACCCACACACCCACACCCACACCCACACCCACACCCACACCCACACCCACACACCACCGTGCCACCAACAAGCAGCTACCGACTGAGAAGTCCTCACCACTCACACACACACCAGACAGCCCGCGTCCCACCACACAAACGCACGAGCCCCACACCTCACATTTCCCCCCCTTTCGCCACCCCTTTCGCTGCTATGTGAGTAGCCCACCTTCTCCCATTAAAAGGAACCCCATCGCCCCCCCGACCCCACCTCCGCTTGTAATCACATATCACCCATCACTCAATCAATCCATCTACCTCCACACTCCACACACCACTCACGATACCCTAACGAGAACCATGTCTTCAACCACCGCCTCCTCATCATCGTCCGCAGCGACTTACCAGTCACAGCCACAGACCCCCGAGCAGCTCGCAATCTCACGCATGCCCGTCCGCTACGAGATCCCCGGGTGGGCGGACTGTAAATACTCAAACAGGGCAAGTGCCTTCCTTCCTCCCGCCATCATGACATCTCCCCCGCCTCGTCTAAAATCAAAAGTATCTGCACTGAAACTAATACGATGAACAGAACATCCAAGCCTGCATCCTCCACGCCCTTCCCTTCCTCGCGCCAGGCGCAAATGAGCTCGCGGCGTCGACGGGCAAGTGTTTCCACTGCTGGGCGCTGCTCACGTCGATGGAGTATGCGGTGTTGAGCGTCATCTTTGTTTGTAAGTTCCTCTTTCTGCACTTCGGCAGTGTACGGGCGATTTTGGGGGGTGAGGTGGGGATGCAGGCTAATGGTGGTGGTGTTTCACAGTGAACTCAATCGGCTTCGCCGTCAGCTTCGTCCGGTACCTCATCAACATGTTCTTTTCGTTCAAATAGACCGTCCAGCCAGCCAGCCAATGCGCTGTGCCTACGCGGGGAAATCACAAGTACAATAATCATTATAATTAAGGGAAATCAACGGATACGGTGGTGTGGCTTTTTGATCTTTTTTTTGTTTTTTCCTGCGCTTATGGACGTGCGAAGAGGGGAAGGGGAAAGAGGGGGGGGGGGGGGGTAATGTGTAATTATTACTAGGTTGCTAGCTGTAGTGCATGGTGCGCTGGATGTCGCTCTTTATGGGGTTTCTTTTGTAACGGTGTTGCTGTTTTGTTTTGTGTAATGAGCTCAATGAATATTATGATATTATCAATATGTGTTTTTTTTGCGGTGTTTCGATTTTGCAGTGGCTGTGGTTGTTGGTGATAAAACTGGTTTTGGGGTTGGCGTAGTGGGGTTCCTGACGGCTGCGCTAATTTAAACCTCCGGAAGTGACTAATTCTAAGTGATAATACTGAAATAGTAAAAAAGCTACACGCATCATCTCACTTTTGATCTGCGACGTTCATGGTCTTGTTTATTTAGACACCTATTCCTGGCCTCGAAACAACACCTTATTGATCGGGGGTTTGGCACTTATCTAACTAACTATATAAACAGCCTAGTTAACTTAAGCGTTTATATTTGTATGTAGAGTGGCTAACTCTATAGCCCCAATTCGCCGTTTTGTCTAAGCACATGGAGGAGTGGACAGGCATTGACCCAGACCAAAAGATCCTGTATCTTGGCGCGCATGGGGGCCCATGGGGTCGACGGTTATATAGACTTGATACATGATAAGCTTGACGAATCAATGTCTCTAAGGAGTCAATGGCACTGACGGCAGCCCAGACCTGCGAAGCATGTCGTTGGTATTAATATCAAGAGTTGAGCTATATGTTGCTGCCAAGACCCCCGAAGTAGCTAGTGCTGATTGATGTCTTGAACTGAAATGATGGTTGGAATAGTAGCATGCAAGGGGGTTTTTTCAACCTTAAAAACACTGAATATAAACTCGCTCGCCTGGTGACGGCGCCTCCTGTCTGGTAGTTTTACGGCCACTTTGTCTTAGATGCCCTGCATGCATGCAAGTAGTTGGAATCCATGACAATCCTCTTAGACAGGATTTTTCTTCTAATCGTGCATGGGCGAGTGTGTGACCTTTCATGTTTGCTATTTGTAATAATGCAATAGTGCGGTGTATATGGCTTTTGTAGAGACGGGGGTTCGTAGACTGTCCACATATGTTTGGAAATCTGCATTGCCAAAATAATTGGAATGGTAGCAAGGTTTTTTTTTTTTTTTTTACCCTGAAGATGTAGAACATATCATTTTGGTTGTACGCAACAACATAACAACATAACAACGCTGCAAAGGTGCATTCTGTGGAAATGAGGCTCATACACTGCAGTATGTCGCTGTATGCTAAGGCCCCCGAAGTAGTAACGAGTAACGTATCAAACTGTTTAGGAATAGCTGGAATAGTACATGTAGCTAGGTATGATTTTTTCAGCTTTGTTATCGCCGCACATAACGACGTGATATAGCGGCGAATACCGCAAATCTGAGAGGTTTCGCTGGGATAGGGATTCTTGACCAAAATATGTAGTGCGGTTGTCGTTCAAAGATTGGCCTATATCCCTGATGTCTTGCAACGAATATGCAGGTTTAATCGAAGAATTTAACTTGTTGGACGGGCTCATGGACTGTGTTAGATATGGTGTTGTATAATAAAGCTTGTATGCATCGCCAAGACCCCAGATATGGTTAGTAGTGAGTAACGTCTCGAAGTGTTTAACAATAGTTGATATCAGCAACAAAGGCTTCTTTGATTCAGCTTTGAGAAAGATGACAGTAACAATAACGTAATTGTTGGTCTATAAATTTTTATGTTGGTCTTCCCGGTCCACGAGCAGGGGTGATCTAGAGCCTACGTTTCGTTTCAGAGAAAAAAAAAGAAAATAGAAGAATAAGACACGAAACTTATCTGTAGTAACTATTGACGTTGGCATCATTCCTGTATTAGTCGTAGGCTATATATATAATCCGACTTAAACCAGGTAGCACGGCGAAGTAGTACCTAGTCCCAGATTTCTTAACGTAAGCTGAGACCTCTACCCAGTAACTATCCCTGGAGTGCTTAAGTCTATGACGACAAGACTAGTGTTCCAGCGCCCCGGAAGGCCAGCAAAGATATAGAGATATCCTTGTACTGTCTCGGAACAATAGCGTATCATTTTCTAGATCAATGCCTGACAGCGGCACAGCGGTTGCGAAGTGAATCTCGGAGGTTATGGTAACCTAGCAAGCACTCCTTCGCCATTGCTGTGCAGCCTAACTCGAAATCTGTAAGCGGTAGTGTAGACTAGTGGGGCAAATATAGTTCCCCGGTTTATTATAGTATCTTCCATTGTGTCTGTAGAAGTGCGTTGTCTAGTGTACATTCTTGCTGGTACAGGGGCGAAACGTTTCCTGCAAGGCTGGGATATCAGGTTCTCTCTAGTGTCCGAAACATCATGGCAGTTTCCTTGATAACGTAATAGCTTCGGGATGTTCCTACGTGTTGGAAGTGTAATGCTCATAGTTAGCGCTCATGCGTGTCTATATTTCTGCATACCCGTCTCTCCAGACCGATGCAGTTCCTTCTGCACATACATGCACAAATATCCTCCGGCCGAGTCAGGACATTAGGATGTCTCCACTGGGATTGTATGCCATGTCCCGAAAGATGCCCGATAGGTGAAATACGAATACTGTGAAGATTAGGTAACTCAGCATTTGTTTCTCTTCCTGGTCTTTGCTCGGTACTAGTCTGCTCTCCTATCACTTCCTATTCAGACTTCCACACGGGTCCTGAATAGCTGATAGGAGCTGAAAACTGGGATAACGAGTCACACTCAGGGGGATGCTATGATAGAGCGAACTGGTAGGCGGAAAAGAAAGAGTAGTGGGGATACTGTCGGTGGCCGTCTGGAAGAGCATGCGGAGTTATTGGGTAACTTTTAGCAGGCTTGGTATTGCGATACCTTCGGTAATCTACCGCCGGAAGTGTGTTTAACATATGTATATCGTTATTAATTCCTAGATGGTTGGGGGCGATAGGGGGCGGGTAAGGTTGGAAATAGAAGGACACAGTGTTGTTGTCGTCGAGTAGAATGTTACATCTCTCGTTCACTATCTTGTTTGGTTACGTCAGCCAATGCCAGAGGACAAGTAGCCGTCCAAAGATATAAACAACCAACCAATCATCTTTACCGCGTAGCGGTGATCTACCAATCGATTTCGCTTTTGATTACTGCGGCATAAAAGTTAAACCAGAACCTTAGCGCCTGCAGGAATCTTGGCATTCAACTACGACTGAGGGCAAAGAACACACATGGGCGAGTGGCTTAACGGTTAACTCGCCCCCCGGACGGACACCGTGAGGTTGTACCTTGCCTTCGATTACAGAAGGTCCAGGGTTCAATCCAGGGGTGGGGGTAGTAGATATGGCTGGACCATCAATGCTACCTTTTGTTGCTGTTTTCATTTCTTTCTTTCTGCTTTTTATTTTCTTTTCTTTCTTTCACTTTTTCGTTTTTTTTTTTTTTTTTTTTCAAAAATTCACGAAAGAAGCAACATGTATAGTCATGAGATCGGCACTCGCAGCTCACACGTGCGGATTGACAGACGTCCAAGGGCACCGTGCAAGCACACAATAAAAATCCTCCTCTACATTCTCACACGGAAAAACGAATCCACCGGCGAAGGTATTTATTCAGCTGCATATACATCATGAACATACACAGTAGAAAACGCCGCGAAAAAAAGAAAGCCCTTCCTCTAGAGACACTTCTTTCCCTCCTTTTCCCCTTCCCACAATATTCTCTTACCCTCCTGGAACACACTAAAGGCTCCTGGGATATAGGCGTGAGATCGAGCGCGAGTCCAGAATTTATGAGCATGAACCCACGCGGGCCTAAATACCTCTGTCAGAAAAGAACAAGGACCTCCAAGGGTCCATGAGCAAATACCAGATTCTATTCTGAGCCATCATCTCGGCTCGTGAGGGAAAGTTCAAGAAAGGTGAACCTTCAGCTCAGAGGAAAGAAAGAAAATTCCGAGGAAAGACGTTCTTATGGGGTGTAGCACAATATCGCCATGACATCCCCGCACGATAGATTCACCTGTGTAGCCTGCTCTGAAACCTGATACAGCATCGAGGCGGAGGTGAAGGGGGCGATATTCGCCAGGTTTCTCATCTCCCGGCCGTCCCTCTATCACGCTGTTCCCCAGTGAGATTTCACAGGGAAGGCGTGAGATCGGGGTATTAAATCTTTGCGAGATGGCCCTCTGCGTGCACACTGCGGAGGGAGGTGACGATCGAGGCGAAAACCCAACTCGCTATGAACAACCGAGGTTATAAAGCGGTGAAGAAAATTGATGCCAGCCGTTCCGAAAAACGGCTATGCCCGCGTATGCGGGAGGCTCAATAGCAAAAGAATATACCTTTTAGATCCAGGGCTGAGGACAGTAGTCAGTACAGCAACATCTAGCCGAAAATAGAGCGAAATACAGTTGAGTTGAGGGTGCCTAGACACCAGTAACATGTCCTTGGCAAACTAAATGGAGCTCTGGTAGCCATTAGTAAACTATAAGCTAAGGTTGTGGAAATAATCGCTCTCTAAAGGTGAGGGAATATACCGTTGAACTGGCTGGTGCCGAAACGCCAGGAGCAGTACAATAATACCATACTAGTGGGGTGGGGTCCAGCCCCACCGATAGAAGGTAAGATATAATAATAGCTGGGTAGTTAGTTGGTAAGAGAAGCAGTCATTAAGATATTGAAGATAGGTGGCCAGCCGGGTGGATAGCTTCATTTAACGCCACAGTTAGAATAAGAGTAGACAAATATGTAGGAAGGTAATAATACCAGAAATTCATCTCCCCGAAACAACTAAGACCTTTTTTGAATCTCCTTTCGCTGAAAGACCAACTAGGATTTCCTTTCCCCATTTCATAAAGGTGATATGGGAAACTTG